ATTTATTTGAGGTGGTCACATCAATCAATCAGAGAGTGAGTGAATGAGAGAGAGAGAGAGAGAGAGAGAGAGAGAGAGAGAGAGAGAGACAGACAGAGAATAGTAGTAGTGATCTGCAGTACTACTTATTACATCACATTTTCAAGGACCAGTGAATCTTGGCTTAACTTTAAAAGCGGATATAAAATGAAAAAACTCCAGTTTCAGTGGAGAAACTGGTCCTCAAGATATGAATTATGGGTTTTGACAGCCCCCCTTTCATTAGAATAATCAGTAATGGGTGATGATGGAATCTCAGCAACATCTAGGGCAGGGGTAGGCAACCTTGGCTCTTTTATGACTCGTGGACTTCAACTGCCAGAATTCCTGAGCCAGCGTGCCTGGCTCAAGAATTCTGGGAGTTGAAGTCCATGAGTCATAAAAAAGCCAAGGTTGCCTACCCCTGATCTAGGGAAATGCATTCTCTTCATCCTGTTTTACTACTACTGCCTCTCATGTGGTAAATTTTAGAATCTTCCCTCTACAATAGGGATATCTAAGATCTGAAAAGACTCTGCCCAAGATCAGTAATTGCTTTCTCCTAAATAATAAACATGTGTTCCTAATTGCGAGATGATGAATTGGGATAACCTATCTAGGAAAATTAATGCGTTCAGGTCTTAAGAAATATAGAATACACATCATTATTTTTCATGTATTTATTAGATTTTTATCTGCCTTTATTACTAATAAAGGAGAATATTTGTAGCTCAGGGTTGAAATGAAGGATACTTGGTCCTGATGTTGCCTAGTTTGGGTAATGAAACATCTGGAAGAAAACAACCAAGGGAAAAAGGGGGAAAAAACAATCAACTTAGTGGTGATGATGTACAGAATGTGTTGTCATTTCATTCTCAGTTGCTCATGTCCTCTCTAATAAAACTGTCTGAATTTTTTACTAGATACAAAGGATGGCAACATTTCTTTATCTTTAAAAAATCATTTCACTTTCTCCAGTAAACAATAACATTCATTAGCAGTTGAGGAAACATATTGCAACTGAAACTTCAATTAAATGTTATTCTTCAATTGCCAGAGTTGTCAAGTTTTTTGCATTGTTTTTGTTTTTCTGTCCTGACTTTCACCTTCATATATCTCCTCCAAGCCCACCTCTAGAAATTTCTATCTGCAATTTTTCAAAATGCTGAACTGAAAGTTTATAAGAAGAGCAATGCATAAAAATATCAGAAATAAAGTAAAAATCGAGCACTGCATTTTATTTCATTTGATGAAATGTTCTTGCCTATTTTGATGTGCTTTTGGTCTTAGCTTCTGTATCTGTGACTAAAGTTTTAGCCACAGGATATGACTTTACTCATTTTGTGGGCTTTACTCCCCCTCCTTAACTATAGACATGCAGTCTGTATGAAGTAGCACTGAGGCGGAGTTTATGCCTTGCCAAGAGCAGAGTCCAAACAAGCAGACTTTGTATAAATTGAGTGTGACACCTTTCACAATGAATCTAAAAGACATCCGACTTCCAGATAAAGTTTGTCCATTAAATGTGAACTGCTGAAACATCCTTGTTCAAGACTGATAAATATTTTGCCAAGGACTGTAAAAAAGTATAAGCAGAATGCATGTAAATTAGGGCTGTGAAAAGACACTGAAAATATACTGTGCTTGAAGAATGCTTTTAGCAAAGATACTTTCCCTTCAGAGGTGACTCATGAAACATTTTCTCCCATTTCGTCAAACAAAGCAAAACTGCTATGAGCCTTTGCATTGTCTCTGGGACCTCCTCCGCCATATCCTAAAACTAGACATGAAAAAGAAAGAACATCTAGCAGCTACAAGGCAGATGAAGCATCTTAATACGTATACATATAAACTTGATATATGTTGTGGCAGGAACAGCTAATGGTAATCACTTTGAAAAGCACTTTCCTGCAACATTCCTGCAAATGTTATAAAACTTAGTCAAGAAACTGAACAAAAAGCATGACAGATCCTTTATGATAGTTGGTGTTATGGTTCCGGCTAATGAAACACTTCAAAGAACTTCCAGGCATTGATTTCCCTAAGTCTTTTATTGATTCAAAATGTCTGTACAGGCATAACGAAGTCTATGCTAAGATCTAAGTTCTCTTCCTCTGAGCAGTTAAATTATCAGCATGTTCCCTCCCTAAATTAGCTGTCATATATCACATTATCCAATTAGTGTGAAGGTCAAAGGTTTTCTTCTTCTTTCTTTCCTGGGCTTTACCACCACCTTCTTCTGCTCTGTATTAACTCCCAAAATACCAGACAGTTCTGCATATTGTCAAAGCAAGAATATACAGTATTTGCAGCGTTGACAATTGGTACTTATTCTCTTTTTAAAAAGACATTTGAATGGATATTGCCTTTTTTTGTCATCCCAATTAAATTAAATAGAATTTAGGTGCATTATGAAGTAAGATTGTTCTTGTTGTTTTGCCATTTGGAGATTAGTTGTTTTTATTCACACAGTTTGTGAGCCCATGGACAAAAAGCACCCTGCCATTCTTTAGCTGCCGAAAAGCAGCCCACTTTTGGAAATATCCAAAATTGTATTTCCAAGTGATAAAACATGGTATCATCTCTTAAATATTTTATATAAATTACATATATGGTTTATATTCCTTTTTTATACTGCTTGGATTGGCAGAGATTATTTTTGCTTCTCCAGGCACTACCCCTGCAGAAATATTTCAGAAAACCATCATATAATTTCTTTAATACATTCGGAAATTTTCTTTGGCAAGAATATACCTCTGATTTGAATGGAATATTATTTGGATTGCAAGTAGCAAAATTACATGAAGGGTGATAGATTGAATAAACATGAGGCAAAAGGGCAAAGAATCTGCTTAATTGAAGCCAATTGTGCTTTAAAATTTAGTCTCCGTTGCACTCTTGAGTTCCCGCTCTTTTCTAGAGTTTGTGGTAATAGCTATAAAGCATTAATAATTCACTGGACAGTCTTTAAAACGCTGCTTTGTCTCAACTTGGAGAGCAAGCAATAGCATATGGCTGACTTAGGGCCCAGCTGTTAAACAATGTTGACCCTAATTATTGCTTTAATAGAAGATCAGCAAAGAATCTCAGAGATCTGGGATAAAAAAAAGTATTTTTTCAGTGAAATTAAATCTTTTCGCACAGGAAACAATGACAAACCACTTCTGTGTTGTTGCCAAGAAACTACATGAAATTGTCCAGGAAGTATTTGGGAGTCAAACTTGGCTTGAAGGAGATTTTACACATCATGGAAAAATGTAAGGCCGTTGGAGAAGAGAAGGCTTTAACCGGAGAACTATTGAATGCTGGCATAGCACATTAACTAAATCAGGCACTCCATTCCACGTTAAAATAAAAATGAATATGGTCCTGGAAACATTGTCGTTTTATGGTTTTAGGTGGCCTCATTTATTTATCTTTTGACCTAATCTGAAAGGGAAGAACACAACGAGGATTGACTGATTTTGGCTTCTGGATAATAGAATTCTGGCTTAAGATATGTTCTGTTTCACTAGGACTAGGCAAAATGTGCTTGGCTGAAATATACTCAGCTTAATCAGGACTACTTTAAATAGACTCAGGGATAGATGAGTGGGACAAAGCCATTCATTCTTAAGTAGTGGTGAAGGAAATAGGTAGCTGTAGTAGTCTGTTGAATTTATTAATAAAAAATCAAGAACACTGGGACATAAATGTCTGTGGAGATTCTCAGCCATCTAGGTAATAGTTGCCCCAAAGGTGTTTCAAGGAAAAACAAAGTCCAGTTGTCTTTTGAAAAAGCACCTTTGGGATTGGGTCATAAAATTCATAGTCTTTGTGGTCTCTGTAGTAATGATTAGAGTATGGACAATAAGCCAGAAGATAGCTTAAATTCTTACACAAAGAAGTTACGTATGACTTAATAGTAATAAACGGGGACCTAATGAGGCGAATTCCATGACTAGAATACACCATTCAGAAGATACAATTTATTCAAGCTGGAATAGAATGGAAGGAATAGAAGTAACAAAAGAGAAGCTGAACAGTATATTAAGAATATTGCCAGCTGATCAGAAATCTAAATGAATGAGCTTGGCAATGCTGTAGAGCACATGCAGTTAAAATAAATGGAGGAAAAATAAAAGCAATACTGAAATTCAGAGAGTCAAAGCCCTCTGAATGCCCTCCCTAGTTTTGCTAGTGCTACATGCAGTTCAATATATGATGTAAAATTAAACCATTGTAGCTATATGGTCATAACTAATTTCCTTCAGACGTACTATAAAACTATAAAACTGAGCGCACCATTCCATTTTAAATACGGAAAGAAGTACCGTAAATGCCGGCGTACAAGGCGACCCGGCGTATAAGACGACCCCCGTCTTTATAGCCGGGCCGCATTCCTAGAACGTCGTCTTATACCCCGGAAATTACCAGTATTTCCGGCGTATAAGACGACTCGGCGTATAAGATGACCCCGGTCTTTGGCGCCAATTTCAGCACTCGCGGAAGTCGCCTTATACACCGGCATTTACGGTATTAGAAAAGAGCAGTTAATCTGGCTAGATGTGGTTTGCAGATGTTGTAAGTCCTTTTAAAGTTAAAATATCTTAGCTATGCTTTCCTCTTATTAGTGTATAATAAAAAGGCAGTCTGGAAAAATGAGTAATACGTTTTGCTGCAAGCTTTGTTTTAAACTGGCACGTAAACATCATTTTTGAAAATTATTGGCTTCACAGTTATGTTGTAGTAACTGTAAGTCTTGTACAAAATATGATGTGTTCTTTTATCTAGAACTGTTTATCTCATGGTAAAATCTACTTTCCCAGCCAGATTATCTTTAATGTATCTTAATAAGTTTGTTTCTCCTAGTAAAATCTTACATACAGCCATTTTAACTCACAGTATTTTCAAATGATATCAGCTCAGAGAAGACTATTTCTAACAAATCTTTACATTTTCTCAAATCTATTTTTAATGTCAAGATAAAGAACACTGAAACCTTTTCATTTTTTAAAAAAAATTACTTTATTTCTCAAGTGGATGAGGATTTGCTTCCGGAAACCAGATACAATCCAACTGCAATTACCACATTTGCACATAATGAGAATGCTGAGCTTCAATTAAAAATATGCTTAAGAAAAGTGGATGTACATATTCAGTATAATTTGTTCAATGAGCCAATGCAAGCATTTTGTGAAAACATTTAAAGTAAATTTTAAAAAATCCAATCCAAACAAAACAAAACTAAAAATGTATCTACTTAGTGGCAAATTACATTTTCAGAGTGTCTTAATTGATTCAGGAGGCCAAATAGAAACAGTTACAATAAAAAGCTTTAAGGCAATTTGAAAATAATAATACATTTATTAAAAAATAAGTCTCCAACTGCTTTCCTCCTAAATATACAACAAAACAATGTTGATCATCCTTTAGGAGACAGTACACATTATATTGCATTACATCTTTGCAATATAGTTGATACTGGTATTCTGTACTTTTGTGCTACATTTTGGAGTCATACCTGGAGCTCATTATGAATGCAGAGAGATCAATGATATATGTTATCATTATGAGACCATGATTAATTCTCATTGCTTACTTTTATTATAAATAGAGCTTTTGTTGTGAGAACATACAATCTCTCATTTGTTGCTTGGAAACCCAAAAAAGGATCATGTGTTTCCAGAGTTGCTACCAACTGCTTAGCAAGCTGATTAACTTGTCTGCCTTCCTTTCGATTGTAGAGAACAGTTGTTAGAGGACTTGGCTGGCGATATATGAATACTCTTCGCAGGCACTCACAAAGGGCAGAATATGAGTGGTCTGGTGCACAAGCCATGAATTTCTTGTCTTGCTTGGATGCCTGCACATAACCTGAAACACACATAGCCAGCAAAAGCAAGTAATTATTTTTTTTTATCTCACAGACCAGTTGTTATTGTGTGACCTTATGCTCTCTTGTTTTATGCAGTATAAGATGTGTTATGGGGCACAACTTTTTCTCTGGGATTCAACTGGATAAATGTGCACAGCTTTGTATCCTCAGGACTGGACTATTGTTAATAGAATAGATTTGGGATGTTTTGGGAAACTACAAAGACACACAGTTATGGCAAACATGTTAAGAGGATAGCACATGAAAAATACTTTAGTGGAACGCCGTGTCTAGATTGGTTCTCCAGAGCTTTTCAGTGCAGCATTTGAACTCTATGAAATGTTGCTCTCATTCTAATTTAAAGTAAATATCAAATGAAACTGAGTTTCTAAAGCTTAAAGAATTACATGGACTATCTTTGACACATCTATTTAAGCCTTTAATTGTACAGTTGGCAAGATATTTCTAATCTTTCATTATACATGGGGAGTGAAGCAATATTTTCCTTGGAACCTATTACTGGAACAGATTATCACCAAAGTGTTACATTATATGCCATATTGCAACAAACTAATAAACTAAGAGGAAAATGTTGCTAGTTTTTAATCAAACTCTTAAGATAAAGCCAAAACAAAAAGGGCAGATTTTTTTCTATTTGCAACTTAACAAAAATCCTGGACATTTTAGTTTTTTTCCCAAATAGCATCTTTAAGCTTTGAAACTGTACACTGACAGGTTCCTATTTTCACTTTTCCAGGCAATATCAACAGACATTAATTTTCTTCTTTTACAGACCAGACTTGTTCGTTTATTGGTATAAATGTTTCCATTTCTCTTTGCAATGCATACATATAATGCAAGGAATTTTATAAGCAGAAGCAAAGCACAATTTAAAATGACTGAAAGATGTGGGCGTCAATGAAAATGTACACAGAGGCAATAATAAAAACATAATAAAAACTTCATACCAGAGAGAAGGTGGAATTAACATCTAAAATTTAAGCTGTCTTTTAGAGGATATCAGATTCTCTGGTATAAATGGCTGTCCAACCTTAGATTGCCAGGGTGCTATGACTATCACAAATAACTTTTGACTAGAATCTGTTGTAGTTAACTCAGCATAAAGATGTTGGAAATACCAGGTAAGTTTCTTCAGGAAAATTTCATTTAATTTGGGCTTTTATCCTCTACTGGATATGGAGATGGCCCACACTTGTAGCAATGAACAAATGTATTCTCTTTATATTCTCCCTAACACTTCAGAAGTTTTCTTCTCTAAAGCTAGTTTCTAATTCTGAAAAATATAGATTTGATGAGACAACATTTCAATTGCTATACTGATCTCTTTTATCACAAGTTTGCTATTTTCTGAGATAGTGATTCCCAAGACTCAGCACCAAACAAATTTTAATGGGAAACTTTGCAATATGAACACAGATGACTGGACTAAGTGGGAAAGCGCTTCAGAATATTGTTCAATCAGAGTCTTCCCTTACCTAATGCATTGAAGGTAGAAATGTGCTCCCACTTGTCTTGCTGATCTGGACGGGGCTGCCAGAGAAGAGCATCAACATCATGGCGTAAGGAGAAGCACGGCATTTCCTTAGGATCTACCACTGTTGAGAAAAGATACTGATTGCTTCCAAGGTTTACCTGCAGGATTAGGAAAAGCAATCTTATTTATTTCCAAAGATTCCAGAAAGTATTAACTGACTACACAGAACACAACAATATCAGTAAAAAAATAATAAGTTGAGTGGTCCAAATCTCTGTTTGTTGCATTTTCCAGTCCAGTACTGATCTGCTCTAAAGGATTAGGATTTGGGGATTGGAGGATCAGCACACACTATATAAAACTGATATTATTCAGTTGTGCTCCCTGACTCAGTATGGCATACTGTTTTTAATGCTGGCTCTACAGATTCTGATCTTTATTTGGTGATGAATCTTATTGGGAAAACACAGAGTAATTTATTAATTTTATAACCTTTTCCAATATAAGTAATATTCAGGATGATTAACAAGTTTTTTTTTAAAAAAAAACAACAAAATCAAACCAGTACAAGTTAAACAAAAGTAAGTTTTTCACTATTACTTACTGTGCAGTATTATATTTCAAAAGACTTATACCAAGAAAAACTTTTTGGAGGCATCATTGTGAGAATTTTATGTGGGATGTCTATATAGGTTGTAGAATTCTGTGGGTTACACTTAAGCTGGAATAAAGATTGCTATTTAAAGCCTATGAACTTGGGAATGGCTATGTTCCTTTAGAAAGGCAGCTTTTATTTGTCTTCCCCCAGACCTATAAATGACATTAGCACATAGTAAAAAAAGTCTGCTGCATACATTTAAACAGCAATAACAATTAGGATGGTTGATACGCCAAACCATTAAAGCTGCTGTTTCCAACAGAAGCAAAAAAAAAAAACTATTTTATGCCAATTTAAACACATACCTATTTTTTTCAGACTTTGAATAGAATCCAAATAAATAAATCACTCTATTTTGCATATGGAAAAGGTTATAAGCTGGTCAAAAAAGATCCAGAGGCTACATATTCAACACCATTCATTGTATCTTGTAAGAAAAACAGTTGCCTCATTGCTGAAAACCAAGGTTCAGAATTTGTAATCAAATTCTTAATCCAGTATCATCTTTCCTGAAATACTTAATTTTACAATGAATTTTGCGCATTACTACAAATGCCTAGGTCTCTCAGTAAATATGCTCTGAGTAGCAAGATGCCAATTACAAACACTCCATTGCATTTTTGTCCTTGCAGCTGAAGCTCTCGTTCTATATGAAACCCTGGAAAGTTCTTCATACCATAGAAGGATGCAACTTTGGTTTTAAAACTCTGAAGGGATTGAAAATGGAATCTTTTTCATAGTTACCCTATGGCCATTTCACACAAATTGAAGTTTTGAAACATGGTTTGTCACATTATAAGGATAGCATATTACCTCCTAGGTACTTATTTAGCTTTGCTGAGTTCAATAGTTTCATACCAATGTTTTAAATAAATCAAAATCAAAAGGTACATATCTTAGCAGAGGATAAACCATGCTCCAGATTTTTTTAAAAAATAGAAACTTTAATTAGAATTTCTTAATTTATAGTTTTAGCACCTATAAAATAAATAAGAGCTGCTTACAGATAATATTCTACATCTTTTGAACTGCTAAATTATTTATAAGCAATCAAAAATTAGCAATATTTATATTTACGTTAAGACTGTAAGGAAGCCTTACTGGATTAGATCAAAACCAATATTCCTTCAACATTTTGATTCTCACAGTGGCCAAATGTTTATGGGTTCTGACAAGCAGGCAGTGCAGACATCTCTCTCCCCCTCCCAATCCTTGCTATTATTTCCTGCTACCATCTGGAATCCTGAACCCCCATTACAGAGGTAACATTAAACTTTCCAATGTAGTACGGTAATTCTTGATAGATCTGTCCTCTATGCATTTATACAATCTGATTTTAAGACCATCCAAGTTACTATGTAGGTGATAATGCATTCTCTCTCTTTGGTTGGAGAACAGATTTGACCCTTATGTCTATTCTCATTCATTAATCTGCCTCACTACATAAATTCTGATCCTGACGCCATTTTCTTCAAGGAATGCTTGACTTTTCAAACATTGCTTGCTCCCCTTCTATTCTTTGCCTGTAGGAAAGGTTTATGAAACACTTTTATAATTCTGATTGTTTTCTTCTGCATTGTTCCATCTTTTACTATATACTTTTACAAATGCCACAAATACTGTAGACAGTATTCCAAATGTGGACACATCACAGAACTATACAGAGGCATTAAATGTTGGCTTTTAATTCAATCCCCTTTCTAGTGATCCCTATAATAGATTTTTGTCAAAATCTTCATGACTTCCAGATCACTTTCTGATTAACTACAGATGCCCCACACCCCATCAGTCTCATCAGATGTGTGTATGGAGGATGGAGGATTGTCTCAATGTGTATCGCTTTATATCTATTTAAATAACTGCATCTGTCATTTCTAAACATTCATCTAGTTTGCACTGAGTTATTTAGCTCTGTTCACAATCAGGTTTGTTTTTTTTTTTTTTTTTTTTTTTGGTAAAACTTTCCTAAATAGTTTTTAAAGCATTATCTACAGTACATACCTGGATTTCTTATTAGCTAATCCTAAATTCAAATTATTTATGAACAAGTTCAAAAGCAGTGGACCTAACATAGATCATTTTTTTATACTGCCTTCATTACTTTATCAATAACTCAAGGTAGAGAACATGCGTAACACTCGTTCTTCCTATTTTCCCTGGGCTGAGACAGAGTAATTGGCCCAAAGTCACTCAGCTGGCTTTCATGCCTATGGTGGAGTTAGAATTCATAGTCTTGCAAAATTCTTCCTCTAACTCTCTTCCACTGAGAAAAAAATGCCCATTTATTCCTTTGTTTTGTTGACCCAATTATCAATTCCCAAAAGAACAGGTCCTCTTATCCCATGACCAACAAATCTATTCAAAAACCTTTGAAGAGAAACTTTATCAATGACTTTTTGAAAATTCAGAGATAGTGCCAACATTTATGTGGTTTTCAACACTCTCAAAGTACTCTAAAAGTTTGGTGTGGCAGAATTTAACTGAGTGGTACTTATGCTGCTTTCCTCTTTATAAGGTTTGTTCTTCTATATCAGGGGTGTCAAATTGCCGGCCCACAGGCCAGATGCATCACGTGGAAGCCAAGCCCACCCCATTGCTGGCAATGGCAAAACCATCCCGATACATTGTGTGATGTCACATGACGTCACGAGTTTGACATGTCTGTTCTATATGCTTAAATATTGTTTCCTTGTTCCTCATTTCTATCAATTTGTCAGGAATATGTTAAGCTGATTGGTCTATAATTTCTCAACTATCTCCTGTGTCCTTTTTAAAACGCTGTACAGTTTGTAGTTATAGTCTTATCCACATGAAGTAAATCAACAACAAAGAATCTCCAGACAGAAGAGAATTTCCATTTTATCGGAATGAAAAATTTAATGCAAATGTAAAATGTCCTTTCCATCTGTAAATTCTTTTAACTTTAAAAAAAAGAACAGATAAGGTAGTAATTATATATATATATTACAAATCCCATTTTGTTCTGACAAATAAAATCCACATGACAATATGCAAAAGGTCAGCTTACATGGCTGAATAATTAAGTGATAAACAAAAAAAATATTACTGCAATTTAATGTGGTTCATTACACCAAGGTATAATTTTAAATATCATACTTTTTTTCTACCCTAGTAACAAAAGCAATTGAATAAAAGTTGCATTAAAACTAAAAAAAAAAAAAAGGTCACATATGGCAATCACGTGGTGACACTCCCAACAACTGTGTGAGATTTGCCTAACTACCGCAACTGGAGCTACCCATAGAAAGGCAAACTGGCTTGAGAGCAACTTTAGTATAATGGTTAAGGTATCTGGCTAGATCAGGGGTAAGCAACCTTGGCTCTTTTATGACTCGTGGACTTCAACTCCCAGAATTCCTGAGCCAGCCATGCTGGCTCAGGAATTCTGGGAGTTGAAGTCCACGAGTCATAAAAGAGCCACGGTTGCCTACCCCTGGGCTAGACAGAAACTGGGAGGTGTTCTTGTCCACCTAAGGCACAAAGCCATATGGATGATCTTGGGCTAATCACACTCTCTCAGCTGTAAGAAAGAGACAACGACAAGCCACTTCGGAAGAACCTTGCGAAGAAAACTGCAGAGCTTGCCCAGGCAATCACTGACACCAAACACAGAATAAGAGAGTTGGGAGGGATCTTGAAGGTCTTCTAGTCTAATCCCCTGCTCAAGCAGGAAACCCTATACCGTTTTAGACAAATACTTGTCCAACCTCTTCTTAAAAACCTGCACTGATGGAGCATCCACAACATCTGGAGGCAAGCAATTAGTTGCTCTAACTATCAGGAAATTTCTCCTTCATTCTAGGTTAGTTCTCGCTTTATTTCCATCCATTGCTCCTTGTCCTGCCTTCAGATCCTTTGGAGAATAGGTTGACCCCCCTTCTTCTTTGTGGCAGCCCCTTAGATATTGGAACACTGCTATTATGTTGACCCCTAGTCAACACAACTGAACGGAAGAAAAAAAGACAATATGAAACATGATGCTATGTTAGGCTTGCTGTATTTACACAGTATTCTTGTCACCAAGTCTCTTGCACAAAACTTTATTGTTCCTAATGAGACTATAGATCAGTGGTTCTCAACCTTTTTAATGCTGCGACCCCCAACCGGTCGTAAGTCGAGGACTACTCAACTGGTTCAACACTGTTTGCAGAATGGGACTTTTGGCGGGCTCAGCAGGGCAGAGACAGCCTGGACAATTCCTGTTGGCTTTTGAAAGCCAATAGAATTAGACTCTATTCGAGAGAGTCTATTCTATTGGCTTTCAAAAGCCAATAGAATAAAAGGGAGTAGCACAGCTAAGGAAAAGGGGGAAAAAAATGGCGGACTGCATTGTTTGGCGACCCCTGTGAAATGGTCGTTCAACCCCAAATGGGATCTCGACCCACAGGTTGAGAACCACTGCTATAGATGATGGCTTACAAATTCATTCCTTTGGGATATTAAAGAACAAAAACCAACAATGAAACAATGTGGTATCAATTTTACCAACAAATACATAATTGTACTATGTTTTTGTTTCAACAAACTAATATTCACAGCAGCTTAAATGTCTGATAATTATAATGAAGTGCTTTTGTCTACTCATTGTCAAAAAAGAACTCAATTCAACTTCAGGATTCAGAAAAAAAACAAACTTATATTATTTCAACAGCTGTTGTGAAAATGAGATTTTCGATATTGTAATATTTTCACAAATCATCTGAGGATGCAATATACAGCATGTATATTTTTTGTGAAAAGCAAGATGCTAGAAGTGTTATGTTTTGCTGAACACATAATGGGGCTGTTTGGAATGGTTCTGACAATCTCTAATGTTGCTTATTAGTTTATAAATTTCATTTATTTTGGTTTTTTAAAAAAATTCTCAATTACTGAAATGCTACTAAGGTCTTAAGTGCAAGAACTGATCACAGCTCACTTTTTTCAATGCTGCTCTAAATTCAAATAGTTGTTAAAACAATGGTCATTAAGTGAGGATTCCCTGTAAATATAACATACTCTTTCAATATAAGCTGTAACGGGAAGCTTTTACTAATTTTCTGAAGCTTTTTGGTGGAGTTACTTTCATCCTAAGACTTTCTATGCTGGAAGATAACTCTTGCATACCTACCTAAATTTATATATTTAAAAAGACCTGAAGAAGTACAGAATTATCTTTTGAGGCTCATTTTTATCAAATTGGAATAAAAATAACGTGATTTCTGGATCTGAGACCATTGTAATGGATCCTTCCTCTACAGCTGTAAAGGCCCAGGGATTTAAAACAAACAAACATTTGTTTTCATTATTTTCTGGGCAATTTATGGCTGTGACAATTTAGAAATCTAGAAAAATGGTTTTCATTTGAATCCATAACATTTTATTTGTAATGATATATAATGGAGTTAAGATACAAGAAAATGAATCTATACACAGAACTATATTTTTTAAATTTTACATATAATTATTTTGTTAAAAAAATAACAAAGTGATTTTATAGCTGTGAAAAAATCAATAAAAATAAAATATGGCTAGATTACAATTTGGGGGAGGGGGAAGTTCTGTATTCTTTCTCTCCTCAGCCAAAAAACAGAAACAAAAATAATTCTAGAAGGGACATTTTTCTTTTACTTCAATGCTTCTAAACTTATATCTCTGTTCCTTCGTGCTCAACATGCTGTTGCCCTAATCCTGCATTTTTATGTAAACTCAGTAACAATATTTATAGCACTTAAGACTTATATACCGCTCCATAATACTTTACTCACTGGAGAAGGGCCTAATGCTGGGAAAGATTGAGGGCAATAGAAGGAGGGGACGACAGAGAATAAGATGGCTGGATGGAGTCACTGAAGCAATAGGTGTGAACTTAAATGGACTCCAGAAGATGGTAGAGGACAGGAAGACCTGGAGGAACGTTGTCCATGGGGCTGCGATGGGTCGGACACAACTTCGCAATTAAAAACAACAACAAAATGCTTTACAGCACTCTGAGCATTTTACAGTGTAAACAAATTGCCCCCAACAATCTGTGTCCTCATTTTACTGACCTAGGAAGGATGGAAGGCCGAGTCAATCTGTGCCACTGTCAGGCTCAAACTCCAGGCTATCTATGGGCAGAGTTAGCCTGCACTATTGCTCCACCAGTGGTTAGAATGCAATATTAGAACGCAGTATTGAGTTAGAAACATTAACCCTTTAATTTAATTTTAATAGTAAGACCTATCCACAAATGCTCAAAATTAGGCACGGTATCATTTTGAGTTGTAGTGAATTAAAAATCTAGTAGTATCATCACAGCAATGGCCAAGTCACTTTGGTTAGGAACTCCAAGTTATACTATCATTTACAAAGCTCAGCATCCCATGCAGTTTTGCATTCAAAGAAAAATGACAATATGGATGGAACTTCTCCACCTGATGCCCAATGGTTCCATTATATTAGGGGTGGACAACCTTTTTCTTCTGCGGGACAGCACTTCCTGTTCTTGACTTGCTTGGTGGGCACAGGGAATGATTACTGGTATCAATGGAGTGGATAAAGTTTTCAAACTCAATTCCTTTTTGCATGGGAATTTGCAGGGAATTTGCACTGTGTGCAGAGTTAGCCTGCAATAATGCATTCTAACCATCCTACCACCAGTGTCTTAAATCTCACCCCCCCCCCTAAAAAAAATAGCAGTCAGCTTCTGAGAAAATTTTAATACATTTTTCTCTTCAAAATACCACAACCTGGCATAAAGAAAAAAAAAAGGAGCTGAAAATTGTGCCCTGCTTACTCTGGGCTGACCAACTGTGTTATGTAACTCTCAAGGTTGGGAATCCTGGGAGTGATAGTCTAATATATTTGGAAAGCACCAGGTTGAGAAAGACTAATATAGACTGAAGATCTAAGCTTCAATAAGCCTATGGATACATTCATCTTGATTGCACCCAGCTAGAAGTTAATACTTGTTCTGCTGCTTCTAAATGTCAAGTTGTGTAAGTACTGGGAATCTGAAAAGGTGAAGTTTATTTTTGGTGATAGTAAGAGTATATTGCTGAACAGCAGATTTTAAATTAGGTCGACGTGACCCATTACAATGAGCTGGGTGGTTCATGGCTAATGAAGCACTGGGTGGTTCATGGCTAATGAAATGTTATAGCATGACAGTCATTTTAGCTTTAAGGGTTCAAGCTGACACTAGTGATAAGGTGTTTAACTGACCAATTCTTGGTGGCCACACAAGATATGATGATGCAGATAAAGTAATATGAGGAAATTCAACTATTGATTGTTTCAGGAAAAAAAAAAACCTGAAAAGTATCATGAAGAAAGCAAGTGGTAGTACAAATTCATGGAGATTACAGTTATATGTGATTTGGGGGAATAGCACCTTAAATTGGAACCTATGTTTTTATACAGAATTCTTTTAATAAATGATTATTGGGATAAACAGGTCTATCCATTTGATGTGTATTACTTGACAGCTAAAATAGATCTCAGGCTTTTTTCTTGACCGATTATGTCTCATCCAGTCAATGTTGTCTCTTAGCAACCACACAGGCAGCTTTTCCCCAGTATGATGAACACGGCTCTTCGTGCCACCCAAGGCTGCACCCATCACCACCATAATTGAATCCATCAACCTTGCTACGAATCACCCTCTTCTTTTTCTAGCTACTTTCACCAGTATTAATAACTTCTAAAGAGACACAGGTCTTCACATAATATGTTCAGAATATAGGCATTTCAACCTGGTCATTTGTGCCTCAAGTGATAACTCTGAATCAATTTGTTCAATGATCCATTTGTTTGTTTTTGCTGCCCGTGATGTTCTCAGGAACCTTTTCCAACATCAGAGTTCAAAAATCTGTCAATACTTTCTATCCTTCTTCTTCAAAATCCAACTGTCATTTCCATAGAGTCTCATGGGAAAGCCAATGCTGATCTTTGCAAACAAAAGCATGTCATCTGATTATCTTTCCAAGGCTTTCCTTGGAATCTTGGAATGGTTAGCCTATACCTGAAGGAACAGGATGACTTTTTAAAAAACCCTCAATGAAAATAAAAAAGCAAAGTCTCCCTTACTTCCTCCAAAAACGTGCTGAAAGCAATCATTATGGAATTTAAGAATTTAATCCAATGCTTACCACATGAGTGATCTTCATGGTATCACCGTCAAATCTACATAAACTTGTACTATCTTCAAGGAAAATGTCGCATTCTTCCAGCTCTTGAGCATTACATCGAGGAGTTTCTTTGTTATGATCTGGATTCTGAAATCAGGAATTAAATTTAGCTTTCTATGCATTCTGTGAGCCGACATTAATAAAATAACAGTAAAAAAGAAGCGTGTGATATAATAAATCTATAAACAAGTATTGCATCCAGTATTTCATTGATACCTTTAAAAAGGTATCGTTCTATGAATGTATGCTTTTGTTTTGTTTCATTTTGTTTACTGTTTTGTATTTTATTCTCTATAAAACAATAAATAATAATAATGATAATGATGATGATGATGGTAATGATAATGATAATAATAATAATAATAATAATAATAATAATAATAATAATAATAATAAAAAAGGTCTAATTCCAGTATATAGTCAATTCATAGGAGCATGAGATAACTGCATCCTAAATTGAAACAATTCAGATTGCAGGTTGGGAAACAATGATTATTTCTCATTAAAAAAACTGGAAACTTGGAATTTTGGGAGGACAGTTGTGCTGAGTTTTAGTCCCCTTCTTTTTATGTTTATGCATATTGAGCTTTTCTTCAAAAGGATGCAATCATTTAATTTCATATCTATAGTTTGAAATATGCCCATCACTTTCAGTCTACCTAAAGATAACTAAGCACAATATATAAAGCCAATCACTGTAGGATATTCAACAAAGTACGATTTCAAAAATCATGCAACATACAATTTAATCACTAGATTGTAATATATTTTGCTATGTATATTTATATATTAAAACCACACATTTTATCATCAGTTTACCATTTCATCAGAAGTAAGATACATCAGCTGCTCAGCTATTGTGGCACTTTGAGCTGGGTCCATAATAAATTCCCCCCGACAGTCACCAATTATCAGTTCTGGCCATAAACGCTTTTCTTCTTCCTTCTTAATTAAAATTATCTCTAATCTAGGAAGGGATAAAATAGATAAACATTGATAAGCCATGAGCAAAAGTAGAATTCAGGACTTAATATTAAATAAACTATATTAATCTATTCACAATACTTTGATAGTAGTGAGGTGCTTCAAGGAAACCCGACTATGAATTCACACCTATACTGTAGATGGTGTCCTTTCACTGGAACAGTCTAGAATTAAATCATTCCTTAAAAATCTCTGCCTCTAGGCTTTATATGCCATGTCTTCTCCTCAATTTTGATGACTGACAGCAATTCCAAAAATATAAGGAAAAACAAACCATCTGCAATAGGAAGGTGAGTAGATCATATTGGTTTATAGAAAAACTTCAGTTATGGATAAGTACTTGATTCAACGTTATTGTATTTTATGAATCAGACATGGGTGACCACCTATTTACAAACTCACATGTTAAATGATACAGGGACTGCTTTGCTGAATGCTACATACTACCAACATTCATTACATTGTGGCAATCTACACTAAAGATATTCTAGTAATGCCACCACCTAGTTACCCCTTTCCCCATTAAATAAAAAATGAATAATGGCAATAGGCTACAGATGGAAATATGTAACAAATTCAACATATCAAGTACACAACACTAAAATAAATACCTATTTTCTTTAATTATCCATGTGGAGCTTTCATGGTCAATCAATGAAAAAAGGTCACCTTTCAGGATAGGAAACTGTGGATCTTTCAATGCTACACTGAGCTGATTTGGAGAAAAGCTGACATGTATATCTTCTTTGGTAAAGTTTTCATGGAGTCGGAAAATGATTGTCAAATCATCTTCAGTCTGTTGCCAGTAATATAGAGGTTCTGTAAACAGAAGCACATAAGGGGAGTACATAATTAGCTAAAGGCTAAAACATTGAAGATTTGTGGAATAGCTGTCAAAAAAAACCAGTTATTAGTACAACAAAATGTTGTATTGCCTAGCTGTCTGAAACTAGAAAAAGAAAAGTAACAGCAGCTCCAAAGTTCATCTGTCATTATTTAAAATCTACTAGGAAGGTACAAATAATCATTAAATATGAAGAGAATAAAAAATTCAATGCATAGATAAATAGAATCATAACAGTTGCAAAGGGGGCATTTAAACTATTAGTTCAATCTACTGCTCAGTGAAGAAATGCAAATTAAAGTAGCCCAGAAATATGACCACCTAATTACTACTAAAACACATCCAAATGAGGGGTTTCATGATCAAACTGCTATTAATATTAAGAAGTCTTTTCTAGCACTGAAAAGTATAATCATATCCCCTATTAGTCATCATTTATCAGGGTTAAACATATTAATTCTTTTCCATTTTTCATCACTTAAGTTTGTAGTCCCTGATTATCTTCACTGCCCTATGTTGAAATTGTTAACAATTTTTCAGGATCCATAAATCATGGAGCCCAGAACTAGATGCAATAATCTAAAGAATGACCAAAAAAGAAAAGAGCAGAATAGTTATTTATATATCCCAATGCAGGTTGGATTGTATGTAATTATATTCTAATGAATTAAATGACAGGTCTGTTAGTCATAGAGTTGTCATTTTTGCTTGATTGTTCCCATTTATAAAATCACACTAACAATTATATCCTATGAATCATTAGAAAACATTATTACTGTCATCTTAGACACTAACTGAACAGTATAAGATAATCCTACCACAAATGTACCGTAATTTACTAAGACATCAATATAATATAGAACATACTAGCTTTTAAAAATCAAAGTATCATTTTCCCTTATTTGGCTACACAGGATAAATGAACCTATTAGTATGGATTTTTTTTCTAGCAACTTCGCTAGCTAAAAAGGCAGAAGCTTTTGAATGAATAACGCTACCCACCATTTATAATGTCTGAACCAGGCTATGATAGTACTTCTGAGAAGTCTACTTATCTACTGAGAAATTTACTTCTGTCACACGAATGAACATAAATTGGATAATGTCTACATCAGCACAGCTTCTTACAATCGTACAATCATTAACCATTGAAGGCTTTGGCAGGTTAAATATTTAAACAGATGGAAAGCTCATTGCATACAGGTAAATATATTGCAACTCTAACTTCTATGATTACTTCTTTTAACTTTAAAAACTGTGTGACAAGTTAACAAATCAAGGTACGTAAACATAGAAGTTGCTTTTGAGATTCTGGGATTAGATCACTGACTATCACATGGTTATACTGAAGAATTTTCAAGCCTGCATGATTGTAATTATGTTTTCCACTATAAAGCTTCAGGATAGCAGGAATGGTAGGGAGTTACCTTTCCTGTTTACTTCTGTTTTCTCCTTTTCATTTTCATCTTGTTTGGTCTCGCCATTCTGCAAAAGAGTATAGGGCTTGTAAGAGATAACCATCAGGCCACTGCCATCTGGTTCTAGAGCTGCATAATGAGGAACAGATTTTCCTTGAAGAACTCGGCGTTTGGAGACTTCATACACTTCTTCACCTGATTAAAAAAAAAAACTTTTAATTTCTTAATTCCTCCAATTTTTAAAGGATAAGCAATTCAACAATACCTTGATCATACCAAAATTTGGAGCATAATTTGTCTTTGGAATGCTTTAATACAGCCTTCATGAAAGGAACCAACCAACATGGAGTGCTTGAAAGAGCGTTATGTAGATATAGGAGCACAGAGGTGGCGCAGCATTAGAGTGCAGTACTGCAGGCCGCTTTAGCTGACTGTGTTCAGCAGGTCAGCAGTTCAAATCTCACCGGCTCAAGGTTGACTCAGCCTTCCATCCTTCCGGGGTAGGTAAAATGAGGACCCAGATTGTTGGGGGCAATGTAAATATATATATATATGCATTGCTTACTGGTGTACACCGCTTAGAGAGTGCTTGCATTTAAAGCGGTATATAAGTCTCATAAAATAAATAAATAAATAAATAAATAAATAAATAAATAAATACTCTCCTTATAACTCCAAGGTTAATTACACCACTAACAATTCTTCTGGAATATCTCAAAATCCTCATTTGCACGATGGTGTGTTGAATATATTCAACGTCTTAAATTATTTGTAAAAAAATGATAAAGATGTGATAGAAATAAAAAAAATGTAAATGATCTTGTGAAGCTTGTTGGGTTCAGAAAGAGTGATCAGCCCAAATTAACTCAGCTAGCTTTCCATTTTCTACCCTGCCTTATGTCCAGAGCTCAAGGCAGGGTACGAGGGCATACTCCTCTCATTTTTCTATATAATATGAAATTGGCTGGGCTGAGAGAAAGTGACTAGCTCAAATTCACTAGCACATTTTCATGACTGATTTCTATGGCCAGGCTCTGCCTTAAGCTATTCGAAAAGATGACTGCTTGTAGTACAGAGTCTATTTCAGCCATCTGAGATTGTTTCTATACATTTTTGGGGAACAGAAAAGATAAGGAAACATTTATTGAAAAGGAACTTCTTTAACTTCAATGTGATTTACTATTATTTTTAATGTCATCCTGCCTTACCATATTTTCTTTTAAGACCTATTTTCTAACAGCTCTTCCAAACATTTGCAAATTTGTATTTATATTTTTTCTCCATTCCCTAAGGTAATAGTTTCCAGAATTCCTACTGTAAGAATGTAATAAATGTGTATAGATAGCCAGTGAACTTTCTTTCATATAGCAGCAAAATCAAACCAAGTGAAACACTCACCCTCCTTAGAAGTATTCACAACTGTAGCCCACTCCAAAGAAACATGAAAGCCGCTGCCTTGTGCATCCAATTCATCTTTTTCTATTCGTAAGAGCAACACACCAACTGAACGTGAGTCTGACTGCAAAAACGATGTGCTGTGGACTATAATAAAGGGAGTCTCAAACTCTTCACTGAATAATATCTGGAGAAAGAAGGAACTTTAGTAAGCAACTGAGTAATATTTTCTGAGTTCACAATGCATTCTTCAGATCTAATAGAAAAGACTATCAACCTGTGTTTTTGTGATGGTAACTCAGTATATACTATTTCCAATAAACACAGTTCATCTAACAGGAAAAGAAAATACTTATTTGAAGTGTTTTAGATGTTGCTGATGGTATATGATTATTTGATTCCAATTTTAAGATTTTTTCCCCATACAAATAAACTGTTATTGGTCCAAGATCTTCCATCTTTATAACTGAATCATGTATCCAGCGCAACCTACACATAAATCTGGAGTCTAGACAATAAAACTTATTCTGCCTCTACATCTTTCAATACTAAAAATCTTTTGCAAAGGGGAAAAAGATCTTCTCAAGGCCAAATACAGTGCTCATTCAAGCCTTATTTCTAGGGATTGGCTTATCATGATGGATGAATCCTCTTATTTGTAGCTTTATTCCACAAACCACAAACACTAATATTCCTTGTATAAACTTCCTCAATCATCCAGGAAAATGATTAGATCATCACAGATATTGCTCAATCCATCATAGAAAGCTTTATGGACAAGTTGGAAGTTTGTTTACCTCTTCAAAAACCAGTTTATATTTTATGAATCAAATTCTAAGATTGATTATGAACGTATGAATAGGAAAACAAGATACTAAAAACACTCTGAAATGCCAACAAATTGTAAACATTTGTAAGCTCTGGAAGCTTACAAATGTTTACAAGATATCAATGCGGCTCTCAAGATAGAATGCATAATAAGATAGGATGGAGAGCCAATTTGGTCTAGCATTTAAGGCACTGGGCTAGAAGGAAGGAGATTGTGAGTTCAAGTCCCACTTTGGCCAGGAAAGCCAGCTGGGTGATTTTGGGGCAGGGACTATCTCTCAACCTAACTCATCTTATAACGTTGCTGTGAAGAAAACAGGAGGAGGAAGGTATAGTGGATATGTTTGCCAGTTTGAGTTCTTTGTCAAAACAATAAAAGCAGAATACAAATAAATAAATAATAGTAGCAGGATATCCCAAATTCTGAATTTAATTATTGTATTTAACTCTTGGCACAATTTCTAGGAAAAAGATAATAGTGATATTTATTTTTATTCTGCAATGAACATACTTAATATTCTTTCCTCCTATTTTCTCAAGAACAATCCTATTTGGTGGGTTGGACTGAGACAGTCGCTGGCCCAAAGTCAGCCAAGCTGGCTTTAATGCCTAAGGTGGGACTAGAACTCATACTCTCCTAGTTTCTAGCCTGCTTGCCTTAACTATTGGCTGATTTTAGGAGTCACAAAAGAATTAATGATATTAAAAAAATCCACTAAAGATTCTAAACTAGCAAAAAGCTAAATAATTCTTTTGCTATATAAAATATGGAGAAGAAATAGTTAAATTTCTATGCTGTATCTTTTTTTTCAGAAATGGCTTAAGTGTAATTTAGAATTTCTTTACTCAGAGAATGTTAGGAAATAGGGCAATCTTCAATGCTTGATAATAGTACTTTTGACACTAGCTCCAGCAAGATGCAATTAAGATCAACATGATGTTCAATTAATTAACTTTCTATATGAATTCATTTCCATAACTATTATTTGGACAAAAAAAATCCTTCCAGAAATCAACAGATCTATGCAGAAAGGCATATTTCACAAATACTTTAGAGAAAATGTATTTGTTTCTAGGAACTATAAGCCTTTATAGCTGATGTCTTTATTTTCATACTTTACATATTTCTGAACATTAATGGTTAGATTTTCTTATGACTACAAGTAATTTTTATAAATATTTTTGTTTTCTATTTAATTGTATGATGCATTTAATATTTTACAGTATCTGACTTATAACAATAATTTCCATTATAAATCATGATGGTCATAAGTCAAGGTGACCAGACCTGACTTTATGACTTCTTTGACTTAAGCAAACATCATAGTGGTTAAGTGAACACCACATTCATTAAGTGAATAATGTATTCCTACTGTCATTAAAGCATAGTCACAAGTGTGGAACACTGTAACAAGCTGTAACAATGAGCCAGTTGTCAAGCATCCAAAATATGGTCGTGTGATTGCGGGATGTGCAGCCATCAGAACTTCAGGTTGTAAATAGCTTTTGGGGATGTGTTGTAATTTCAAACGGTCAGTTAGTAGCTAGTCATTAAACAAGGACGTACAACAATGCATATGAATCCCAGAGTTTTACCTACCCCATTAATCTCAGTATTCTCAAAAGCAATTAAGTCACTCCTTTTAAGCAGGCATCTCTACATACTCCAGAGATGATTAAGCAGCTAATATGTGTTTAATTTTGACACTTGAGTTGGCTAGATTGATCTTCAAAGTGGGAAATTTAGGAGTTTAGAGACTGAGTTTTACATACATTGTCTAGAACAGTTTTGTGTGTGCATCAGACATTTGCAAAATTATAACAAATGACAATAATATTAGGTTTCCTGAGGTTAGCAGTCTTTAATGAAGAAACAAGGAGGAAATCACTTATCTTACAATTCGAAACATATATGAAAGCCAATTTGTTTATACTAAAGCAACTAAGCAGTAGAAAGAGGGTGATCTTAACCAAGCATACTCAACCATTTGAGAAAGGAGACAGCATTTAAAATATACTTAATGCTTCTTAGCATAAGACAAATTCTCAGGACTTACTTCCCACTTTTCACAAGAACCATCATCCCGCTTGCCAGTTTGAATAAGATATAGTCTTCCTGTTCCATCTGAAAGGGTAACCAAGGTGGAAGATGTGAAATGTAGTGATGCACAAAGACGATTATCACAAGCTATTAAGTCTGCAGGAAGCCTGAATACTTCTCTTGGTTTTTTTAAGGCAGTGTCCTGCAAAACAAGAAAACAAGAATATGTTTAAGCTCAAAAAACAAAGAATAAACAATCATAATAGCGTAGCTAAGCTTTTCATGGACTCTGGTGATGGTCTTTAGTCTATACATCCCAAAAATAAGCAGAAACAAAGTTAGAAATGATAAGTCAGAAGAAAACATAATCTCCTTATTAGAAAACCAATATATACTGAACAAGAATGTATGGCTATTTGATCCAGAAATTCTCTGATTAAGGGAATTCAACATTTGGCTGTGATAGGGGTGCTATTCCCCTGAAAGAATTGGCAAGTGGAATAAAAGTCAAAATCTGGGAGTATTTTTTTTACTTATGTTTCTTAGTACATTAATACATGGTTACTATTTTGGTTAGTATCTACTTCCTATTACATCAATTAGAACCACTTCTGGAATGAGATGTACAGAATACTGATACACATAATTCTTAATGTTCACCTGCACACACTCTTATCTTTTCATATTTAAATTAAAAACAGGTGCATAATAGCTTTAACTGAAGAGATATTACACACTACAAACTGCAGCCTCTTTGACAAATATGCAGATCATCCATAATTATCTATTAACAGAGAGAAGACTGTTAATTTTATTTTTTGTTTTAATTAGCTAGAATAGAATACTTTACTTGGCCAGGTGTGATTAGACATATAAATAGTCTCCATGCTCAGGGTTGGAAGTTTAAACTTCCCCATACCTAAATACTGAAATTTGTGCGGCAAGAATGTGAAAATAATATTTTTGCTGAAAATTACACATGTAGCTCTTGGACACATACTTGCAAGAAAATTTGCAAGTTTGCTGCTACAGCCATGGACATATTTATTTTATAATGAACTTACCAAAGTAACACTTAAATTCATGACTCTTCCAAGCTGATCAACATAATAAACATTATCTTGGTACCAGGAATCAAGATGTAGGTAATTATACATGCCAAATGCACGCATGTGCTCCAAGGTGTACTGATCATCTGTCAGTCTGACTTCTGCTACCGCTGAAGGGGGAAACAGAAACAGGAAAAATGCGATATTGCATAATCACTTAGGAAATGAATTTACAATATTTAACTTATGGGTCTTGTTCAAAACATAGTTTCCCTATTTAAAATAAGGGTATTATAAGTTTTGCCCAAGATACCTCAAAAGTAAATACACAGAAATCAGGCTGATAAGTAAAACTAGTATTAGAGTGCCATCTGCTGTCTCTGACTTTTCTTTAAAGCAGTGTTTCTCAACCTTGACCATTTTAAGGCATGTGGACTTCAACTCCCAGAATTCCACAGCCAGCATTGCTGGCTGTGGAATTCTGGGAGTTGAAGTCCACATGCCTTAAAATGGTCAAGGTTGAGAAACACTGCTTTAAATACTTAGGCAAGTCTTAGAAGGCATTTTTTCCCTAACAGCTTTCATAGCTTTTCATTTCCTTGGCATTCAAAAACATGAAGAAAAATTAAGTCGTGACAGCAACTTTAATCTACAAATCTACCATATCTATTTTCTTGCACCAGGACCACAAATCTCTTCAGAAACAAAGCATGCTAACATTATGGGTATGCACAGCAAGGTAAATAATTAGAAATAACTCAAATTTCATTAGTAGGACTCTGGATTATCAAGTAACAGAATACTGAAAAGTTTTCTAGTCATCACAATTTTATAACCTATTCATAAGTATATTGAAAGCATTATTATTCTCCCACATTCAACTAGTTTGCTATTACATCGTAGGGATCCCCCATAGTATTTGTCCAGCTGATCCTATCTGGCAAGGTTGACAGACTCCAGGATCTTCCAATTAAATAATACCATATTTCTGGATCTTTGCAGTGCCTGCCCTCTGGAATGAGGTTTCCTCCAAGATTTGAACGGCTGCCAAGGTAGAGTCTTGGTAGATATTACAGCAGTTACATACCAATAGTATACAAGCTTCTTTGTCACAATTATTCTTAATTCTACAGTGTTACTATACAGTAACAATAAGTTTTACCTTTGCTTAAATCACCTTAAATCACCACCATAAAATCTTAGTTTATAAATACAATTATTATGACAATAAAGTATCAGAGTACAATCAAGTTCCTAATATAATTCAATTGACTTCTTATTGATTTCTTTTGACTTATTTAAGATATTTCTTTTACGCAGAGAAAGAATGTACATTAAAGTCTACCTTTAATGAATTAGCCTGGATTAAATTTACAAGCAAGTCAGGTTTTTTTGAAAAAATATTAGTTTGAAACTATTCAGAAGAAATATACAAACTCTATATATTTGAAACCAAAGTATTTGTATACATATTAAATAATTAAGTAAAGAAATTCATGTATGTGTATGCCTATATTTTCATGCTGTTTTATTCTATAATGTATTTTAGATGCTTTTATTCTATATTGTATTTATATTGTGTTTTAACTGTATTTTAAATGTCAATACCTACTGCTGCTAAGTTAAAAATGAATATGCATTTTTATGTAAGGTACTGAAATGATTTTGCCTAATCTTTAAAATATAAGCTGGGGACCCCAAACATTTCAGTTCATCAATCCCTTCATGAATTTTCAGACAGTTGATGGATAGAACGGTATCTGGAATTGGGTAGTTTAATGAAGGATTGGGGTGACATGCTAGCAGTGTTCCAATATCTCAGAGGTTGCCACAAAGAGGGAGCCAAGCTATTCTCCAAAGCATCTGGTATAGGGTTTCCTGCCTGAGCAGGGGGTTAGACTAGAAGGTCCCTTCCAATTATTCTATTTCTATTATATTCTACCTGGAATATTTATTATCTGAAATTAATTTAATAAATACAACTTTATCCTTAACTAATAGTACTACAAAGAAGATTTTTGCTCTTTTGGATAGTCCCCTACTTATTTCTCTGGGGAATCCCAAGTTAAGCAGACTCCAAACTGATGTTTTTAGAACTTGGATGGGAGACCAACAGGAAATCTGAGAACTGGAGGAGTTTGGTGAGTGAAAAAACACCCCAGAAAAGGGCAAGCCACTTTTTAAGGAAGAAATCTACAGAACTGGTGATTTTGTGGTTAAGGCATCAGGCTAGAAGCTGGGAAACCATGAAAGCCAGCTGGTGCTCTTGGACTGGTCACTCTCTCAGCTCAACTCACCTTACAGGGTTGTTGTGTGTGGAAATTAGGAGGAGGAAGGTGTGTTGGATATGTTCACCGCCTTGAGGTATTTATAAAATAAATAACTAAATAAATATATGGGAAATAAATAAATGCAACTCCATAAAACCACGAGAAGTCAAATTTGGTTCAAAGGAATGGGAAATTAATAGTCAAAAGTTGCTTGACAGTGAGATGGCAGGCATATAAATTTAATAAATAAATAAGACAGAAAAAAATAAAATAATTAACTAAATGGATAACATAAATAGAGCCGATCACAAAAGATGATTACATGACCCTGGGCTACTGAAACTGTCATAAATGTGAACCAGTTGCCAAGCATCTGAATTCTGATCATGGGACTATGGGGATGCTGCAATGGTCGTTAAGTGTGAAAAATGATCATAAGTCACTTTTTTCAGTGCTGTTATAATTCGGAATGGTCACTAAAGGAACTGTTGTAAATCGAGGACTACCTGTATTTAAACACTCGGAGCAGAAAAACATTTCTTAAGCCTGGGACTATTCTCGGCTTTTCCTGCTCCATTTTACTCATTCTCCCGGGTTTTTGCCTGGAAGCGCTCTCCCTGTCTAGCAGGGCTCCAAATCCGGGAAGCCGAGCCACAGGGTTCCCCAACGCAGCCTGCGCTTCCCCGTACCCCAAACCTGGCCGCCAAACGGGCGCCACGCTGACACTCACGCGAGTCCAGCCCCACTTGGTAGCAGGCCAGAGGCTCCAACGAAAGCTTGTAGCCCTCGAACTTGGCGTCCAGCAGCAGCCGCTTGACGCGCAATGAACAGTTCGCCGCCGCCTCCATGCCGTAGGCCTCGGCCTCAACAGCCGCTGCTGATGAGGACAGGCTTCCGGAGAGGTCTCCAAGCCTTTCGAGTCCCGGTCGCCGCAGCGCTGAGGCCATGGCAGCAGAGACCTCCCCTTCCGCGAAGGATTTTGAGTAGGAAAGGAGTGCAGTGCCTGATGGGAATCGTAGTTTTGGAGCGCCTGTCGCAGCAGATAAGCCTTTATAGAGCTTCTGGGCGCTTCGTGCCGGGGCGTTGCAGTTTGGTGCATGGTCCTTTGCAGGATGGGGGTCAATGTTAAGGGTCTCCGTCACCCTAATCCAGAGTCTTCAAACTTGGCCCTTTTATGACTTGTGGACTTCAACTCCCAGAATTCCTCAGCCAGCGTGCCTGGCTGAGGAATTCTGGGAGTTGAAATCCACAAGTCATAAAAGGGCCAAGTTTGAAGACCCCTGCCCTAATCAATTCAGTACAAAGCAATTCTGTTCAGTTCATGAAGGTTGCTCCTTTTCTACATTTGATTGGATGTAGTGGGCAGAACTATACAAAAGTTCCTAAGATGGATATTTGGGTTACTCCTTGGTCTAAACCAGTGTTTTTCAACCTTGACAATTCTGAGAATTCTAGACTTCAATTTCCAGAATTCCCCAGGCAACCAGATTGACTGGGGACTTCTGGGATTTTAAGTCCATACTTCTTAAAGTTGCAAAGTTTGAGATATGCTGCTCTAAGCCATATAAAGTAATAAAGGCAATAATCTGAGAGACAGACAGACAGAGGGTTTCTTCACTGTGGTTTAGCATATTAAGTGATCTCAATCATTAGGGTTAATGAAACTTTGATGTCTTAGTTATGACTTAATGTGTTGTCTGGATGAGGATACATAACATTTTGCACTAAAACTATGCTATGAACAAAACAATTTGCATCTATACACCATGCTAAGCCAAGATCAAGCAAACCACATTATGACTTAGTGCAGTGGGTCAACTTGCCTTCTCTGTCAACCTAACTTTTAGGATTTATTTTTAGGTTTAGTTAGAGTAATAGTTGGAATTTCCAGATATATGCTGTTTCCAATGCAGTGGTATGTCTCTTATTTTGAACCTGGTTACCCATTTTATAAAATGATTTCACTTCCCAATAAAATATAAGTTGGATTGCAAATTTATTGGGAATAAAATTCATTGAATTGAAAGGGTCCTATTTCTGAACTTTACATACTGAGGATTTTCTCTCTCTCTCTCAAAGAGACACATATATTTTGAAGTCACTGCTTACTTCCCTGTGTACCATTCATTTTTATGCTTTCCGAAAAAACTACCTGGAAACGTCAGAGACTAAACTTTACTTTCCATTCATTTTAAATAAAATAAAGGTCAAGTCCTAATGGAACATTCATGTGTTTTCTTGAAAAGTGTAGAGAAATTGTTCATTTGGGGGGGGGGGGAATGATTTTCCCATGTTCATAATGTGGTCTATAGCCCCAGGATTTCCTAGTGTCTCCCACCTCGAAACTAACCCGATCCCGCCATGAATTCTATTTACTTTTCAATATAACCAAACCAAGATTCTTTTTTTAAAAAGGTAAATCCCAAATAAAACAGGTAATGGGAATACGCCCCCACCTCTATTGTGCTAAATAGCTAGTTTAAAGTCAGAAGGAACGATTGCAGCATCAACGTAAACCAACCTAGCAACCAAAAAAAAGTACAGTACAGAAGAGCATTGTGGGAAAAGTAGTTTTTGTGTTAAGGCAGCATGAAGGCGTCATGGAATGGCTAAGAGGCAACGTCCTTCTGGGAGTTGTAGTTTTCATTGGGCGTCGAGCCGTTAGAGCCATGCTGCTGAGAACTACGTTTCCCAAATCTTTCTGCGAGGATTGAGGCAGGCTGTTGCAAGGCTTCTTCTCTTTAGTTGGGTAAAGTCTTGGGCATCCGGGAGGGTTGGTCGTGTCGCGAGTTCGAGGCTCCGTTGACCCGGGTCTCCTCGGAGCTTCAGCTCGCGGAGGAAACAAGTGGCTCGCCCGGGAGGTAACCCGTTTGTTTGGGGTAGGCAGTGTATCTAATGGAAGCTTTTGTACTCGTGTGGATGTCGATTCTTCTTCGAATTTGCTTGATATCCCCGTCTCCTTTTCCCATCCTTTTCAGTTTCCCTTCGTTAAAACAAAAACCGAGTCCAAATCTGACTTCTCAGTGATTGCGGGGCGTTTTTCAGGAGTATATCTTATGCTTATACTCATCATCGTCATCATTTTATATTATTATATTATGAAACTGATGGGCGTGCAACTCGAAGCATGCAGGACGCTAAATGGGTGGTTTTCAGAGAGGGGATCCCCACGTTATTCAGTAACCTCAAGTATTTGGGTGCTTGATCCACTCTACACTTGGAAAATGCATTTGTACAACAGGGTTTACATGGGTTGCTGAATTAAACCCCTCTTAATGTAATGGGAAAATATATGGACTGGCTTTTTAGCTGAATAGGTGATGCATGTTGTGTGAATGCAGTCAAAATACATACCATGCAGGTTCCTGGCAAACTCAAAGTCAAAATTGGCAACATGACAAGATAACTTATACCAAGTCACAATATTGATACCCTTATTTCAATTGTGGTTCTGCAGTTTATGGAGCTGTACCAAGAATTTATGGAAGCCAGAGATTATCCTTGAAATAGCTTACATCATTGAAATGAAATAATGATGATCATTAGCTAATTACATATTTATTTGTGTGACATATATTTTGCTTCTTTCATTTAGGAGACCAGGTCTCCATTTTTCCAGTAACTGTTAAGATTCTGAATGACCCAGTGAGACTTTATGGCTGCAAGTATACTTGAATGCCCGATTCAAGTCAGGATTTAATCCAACCATTAAGTCACATAGACTCTTCTTTATCCTTCTGATAAAATGAAGGTTTTCCATCTTGCCCTTTCCTGCTTCTTTGAACTGTTCAGAGATGCATACACTAGGAAAAAAACGGATTGAAGTTGTGGGGGAGAAGAATCTGAGTTCACATGACACATTAAACTTAATGTGGAGTCCTTTAATCACAGCAGTAAGTCTTAATCAACAGAGTAATACTCATCAATCTTTCCATTACATTGATACCAGTTTCAGATTTAAGTGGGAACCAAAATTAGGTGTGTATCCTCTGGCATGAAATTGGCAGTATTGTCAGTTTCTGGGATTAGACTGCACCCTCCTGAAAAATGAATGAAAATGAATGTATTATATATGACAGTTAAGTCCATCTCTCTCTCTGATTTTCAGTAGATCTGGTCTACTTGCATTCAGGTGGGAAAAATGAACAAAGATGCACAAATGAGGGCAACTATTAATCAAAAGTTAATTGAAACAGGAGAACGAGAACGGTATGTAGGTTTCATTTTTTACTCTAGTTGTAGAACTGCGTTGCTCGCTTATTTAATGTTTTTCTAGTGCCCAGTGTGGATATATTTCTAATGCTGTTGTTTTTACAGCCTTAAAGAATTATTGAGAGCCAAATTAATTGAATGTGGTTGGAAAGATCAGCTAAAGGCACACTGTAAAGGTAATTGTCACTTTGGAATGATTGTAACTCTCACTTCATTAATTGGTATCAGGAAGTCACAAATCTAATATTCATGTAATATGTATGTTCTCATGTTGCATTTTAAATTGCAGATGCCTGACATGTAGACCATATTTTTAAAAAGGAAACACACATTGCAATGTCATACTAATACACGATTCCTAACATCTGGCCTGCCTAAGGAATTCGTTAGTACCCCTCTCTCCTTTACTTTGTCTTTTTCCAATATTTATTTGTACTCCACCTTTATTATTTTTACAAATAACTCAAGGCAATGAACATATCCAACACATCTTCCTCCTCCTATTTTCCCCACAACAACAATACTGTGAGGTCGGTTGAGTTGAGAGAGAGTGACTGGTCTAAGGTCACCCAGTTGGCTTGAACTCATGATCTCCTGCTATCTAGCCTTGTGCCTTAACCATCATTAGACCAAATTGGCTCTCAGTCATTGTATTTTTAACAGACGTTCTGAGATTAATGCAAAATATAAGGTATATTTGTAGAATATGCTGAGTTTACTGTAAAGCTAGCATGGAATACGACTGGGTTTTTCTGAAACTAATTTCCCCTTCCCGTTAGCCTGCAAAATAAGCTGTTTTATCTACACTCTTTTCTTTTCCTCCTCCTAGCCTAATTTTATTTTCTTTCCTGACAAAAGATACACAAAAGGATGAATGGAAATTGCAATCAAAATGGTTTCTATCCACAAAGATTATGAACCTCATCTGGGCCCTATAAATTGTGTTTGTGCATATATACATACCCACAGATATTCAAACATACACATACATTTATATAGACATATACATATACATTCACAAATATAGACGTACACACAGCATAGACAAGTCCCTGCAGGCAAGATTTTTTCAGAAGTGATTTGCCATTACCTCCTTTCTAGAGCTGGGAAGGAGTGTCTGGCCCAAGGTCCCACAACTGGCTTTCTGCCTAAGACAGGAGTATTACTCATAATCTTCAAGTCTGATGCTTAACTACTGCACGAAACTGGCTCTCTATATTTTGTATTAAATTTTCTTTATTCCAATTACTTTGAAAGGGAAACTTTAAATAAAATAGCAATGTCAGCTAGGTCGCAATGGTGTCTAGTTGTGGACCAAGATAAACAGGTCACTCTCTCAATCCAATCTACTTCACAGGATTGTTGTTATGGGAAAAATAGAAGGAAGATGTGTTGGATTTGTTCGCCGCTTTGCGTTGTTTGTAAAAATAATAAAGGAGGTTACAAATATCTGTGTGTGTGTGTGTGTGTGTGTGTGTGTGTGTGTGTGTGTGTGTGTGTGTTGGGCAGACACCCGGTCTACCAAATGTAAAGCAATCTGTTCTGCGTTTCACTCCAGTCTAGGAGCATCTTTTGCAGGCAGACGTCACTACTGTGAACACTGTAAATTCAAAATTTTGTGGCAGAACAGATTGCAACCTGCCCAGGTTCAAATCCCAGAAGGGTAAGACTAGCTGATGAGAACTAAAGAGCTTTAAATAGCTATACTAGTCTCCCATTTAACTCTTTGTCAGCCACAAAATTATACATACATACATACATACATATATGGTCTGTGCTATTAAATTTAATGTGCAAAAGATATGTATTATTTCAATTTCTGTAATTAAAACAAATTTCTCTGCTTTTATCTGTCTTTAACCTGTCTGCTTGTCTTTATATTGTTTAGATGTCATCAAAGAGAAAGGGCTAGAACATGTTACTGTTGATGATTTGGTGGCTGAAATTACTCCAAAAGGCAGAGGTAATAAGGTTCTATTGCTTTGGTACTCAGGCCTAAAGTATACACTGAGTTCTTGGAATAAATTGTTTCTAGGCACTGAACAGACTTTATTTGTATAGCTTTAAGAAGGTGGCTGATTCATGAACCCTCCAATGAAGTCCTGGGATTTACATTTGCATTTTATTTCAATGTTTATCCCAGTGTTTTTCAACCTCAGCAACTTTGAGATGTATGGACTTCAACTCCCAGAATTCTTCAACCAGCATGCAACACATCCTGGGAACTGAAGTCTACACATCTTTAAGTTGCTGAGGTTGAAAAATACTGTGTTTTCAGTGCTATTTTATCTTTGAATGGTTGCTAAATAAATAGTTGTAAGTTGAGGACTGTCTCTATTCTTTATTGCATCCTCAAATATGTTGCCAAGAACTGGACACTAGGATATGTAGCAAAGTTGAAAAATGACAAAGTGAACCCAAGGAGTTGGAAGCGGTCTTTAACACCTTGTTAAAGTACTTCAGGACCTCTGCAAATCGTGTCATGCATCTGTGGGACATATGTGCCCAATTGCTTTGACTGACATTTTCCTTTCAAGTCTGGATTGCAACACAGTGCAGAATAGAGTTTAGCTGTTCATTTCCATGATATACAAACTGGGCTTCTTTTCAGGTGCACTGAATTTGCTTTTTGAGCAGTCATATTCTAGTGCTGATGCACCTTTTGATCTATTTCAATCCCCAGGCACTATTCCCAAGCAAGGCATCCCATATCCTGTACCTGTGCCTTTTAATTTATTTTTCCAAATGAAACTTTCACCTGTCTCTGCTACACATAATTCATTTATTTTCAATCCGCCACTCTATCAAGATTGTTCCAAAGTTTGTTTCAGGCAGCTAATACTATTTTGGAGTTGAGCTTCATTTGGTGACTCACACGGACACATTCATGTTGTATCTTGGTATGATTCAAATGTTGCCATTCCATGCTTTTTGTAAGAATTTTGATTTCCCATTGAAGTCCTACCCATAGTCAATCATACTTAGATTTCTAGATTGCCAACATCGGTCAGATGGTGCCACATGACAAATATACCTGCAGCCACGCTCATACACATAGAAAGGCACAGAGAATAGAATAATACTGTATAAACAGTACTCGACTTATGACTGTAATTGAGCTTGGAATTACAGCAGTAAATCATGTCAGTTGTTAAGCAGATCACCGTGTCCCTGTGCCCAATTTTACACCTTTTTTGCTGTGAATAAGTGACTGACACAATTGTGAGGAGCCCCAGTGGACACTTTTTTTTTTTTTTTGCTGGAAACCAGAAGTAAACATCAACGTCCAGCAGAAAACATACATTGTAATAAAAAAGCTGTCAGTGTAGGTTGGTTGTCAAACACCCAAAATGCAGTCAAGTGACCATGAAGGGGTGGGACTACCTATTGGAACTTGAAAACCTGGTCATAAATAGCTCTGGGTAGGTCTGTTGTAACTTTGGTCACTAAGCGACCAGTCGTAAGTGGGGACTATCTATATTTGAAATTATTTGCAATGTGGTGATGATTTCATCTTGCTCTTTTTCAGCGTTGGTCCCTGATAGTGTAAAGAAAGAACTTCTACAAAGAATAAGAACATTTCTGGCTCAACATGCCAGTCTTTGATCCTTGCTTTTGAATCTTACCATGCTTTAACATGCTGTGTTCAGTGAATCACATGAAAAACTGGATGAACATTTTTCATGCTTCAGGATTAAAGTTCATTATTTTTTAAAAAAATATTTCATTTACTTACTCCAAGTCTACTTCCATATACTGATTATTATTAATGTTTTAATAAAAGAAAAATGCCAACAACCTGTGCTTAAATGTTAAAATCAAAAATGTTTTGCCATTAAAACAGTGTTGCGTGTCTTAACGGGTCTGACCTGTGTCAATATATTTTAATATTAAATGGCTTCTTGGCCATCCTGCTAGATGAATCCAGCAGAAAGGATAAGAAAGCATAAATTCTAAATGTTTGATGTCAGTTGCAAAACAGCACTGCAGCAGAGGGAAAGCAAACTGTAAAATAAATTACCATGGCTCCAAATAATGGCACATGACCAGTGACACCATGAAAATCCAGCCATTGCCTGCTTGCCAGCTGACCTCTGATGAAAATGCCAACATTTGTGTGACAGCATCTTACACATATTGTCACCTGCCTGCTTTACCTCCATCCCTTGGATGACCAGGGGAAGAATTATTCCTTTGAAATAATGGAAGGTACAGAATAGTAAAATTTAGATTCCACCTACTTTTAGCCTCTCACAATCCATAATGAGTAAGTAACAAGATGAGTTCAGTATTCTTTTTTTTTAAAGGAAAGTAATGTAATGTGTTCCATAATCAACGAAGCCATATTCTGTAATCTGCAGCACAATTTGGGACAAATATACTAATACCACTCTTCTTACAAGACTGTCAGAATGTCAAAAATACAAGACTCAGAAATCAAACTTATTTCTTACTTATTAGTATAATATATGGAGTTTGATTGTAATAATGTAGTAGAAAGTTTTAAACTTGAATGGCTCAAATAGATGTGAGTCTATATCAGGGCTCTTCAAACTTGGCCCTTTTATGACTTGAGGACTTCAACTCCCAGAATTCCTCAGGTAGGCATGCTGGCTGAGGAATTCTGGGAGTTGAAGTCCACAAGTCATAAAAGGGCCAAGTTTGAAGACCCCTGGTCTATATTGAACCTAATTATGGTAGGATTGCATTTCATGTCTAGTTATAGGTAGTCCTCGGCCCTATAATTATTCGCTTAGTGATCGACCATTCAAAGTGACACACAACTGTTGCAGCCTCCCCATGGGCACGTGATCAAAATTAGGATGCTTGGCAACTGGCATGTATTTATGATGGCTGCAGCGTCCCAGTGTCATGTGATCACCTTTTGCGACCTGGCAAAGTCAATGGGGAACCCAAACTCACTTAATAACCACATTACTACCTTAACAACTGCAGTGATTGGCTTCACAACTGTGGCAAGAAAGGTGGTAAAATGGAGCAAAACAACTTGTCTTAGAGAAATTTTGGGCTCAGTTGTGGTAGTAAGTTGAGGACTGCCTGTATGACTATTGTAAGCCGGAACCAGACTATGTGGTATCATGTGTGGCGGGCATATTTGTTACAACTAAAACTATCTTGAAAATAGAAGATTCTCAAAATGAGCGTGTGCATGTGCTTTACAAAGCTAGCATTATTTACATTACAAATATCCAGACAGGTGGTAGCAGATTGCATTTTTCTGCTGCCGCCAACTTGTGATCACCCTAATGTTTGCAGCCTAATTATGGTAGATCTAGTAACACATACAGATTAAATGTAGGTAACCTTTTCTGAATGACAGTTCAGTTCTTTGAATATTATTAAGCACATATATAGATGTTAGGTCTCAGTTCTGTAAAAAAAATGAAATGCTTCATAACAATTATTTAAAATGTATTCAATACCTTCAATTTGTATTTTTTAAAGATGAAACATTCAGGGTAAGAAAAAATATATATATATTGGAACAGGAAGATGGGCCCCAATTAAAAGTAACACAAATACTCTAAAATTAATGTTTTTAATTTTTATTTTTAGAAACCGCACTGTTTTAAAGATTTATTTGGAGAAGCTCGTTTTTTCATTTAGACAGCATCACTTGCCAGCAAAAGGGATTAATTTTCCAGATTCACATTTATGCCATAAAATAAATATTATTTCTCGATTGACACATTTTGTTTACTAGAAATTTAACCTCAAGCATATAGCACTCAACAATTGATGTTTCGAAGATTTGGAGATAGATACAGGTAACCCTTCTTTAACGATTGCTTCAGATTGGACAGCCATTTGTCCATAATAGTACAGGGTCCTCTGCTTCAGCAGAGGGTTGGACTAGAACAGGGGTGTCAAACTCAATTTCATTAAGGGCCGCATCAGCGTTGCAGTTGTCCTCGGGGTGGGGGGGGGTGTAGGTATGGCCAGGGTGGGCACGGCCTTCTGGGTGGACATGGGTGGAGTGGGCTTACTCAGTGGGCATGACCAGCTCTACATCATTTGTGTCAAGGGTGCCTGCAGAGGAGTGGGACGGATCTGAAGGTCTCTGGCAGAAGGGGGTGGGACCAGGGCAAGCACCAAGACATGGTCCACTGGAAGAGCCTGCCAAAACCCCTCCCTCGGAGCCCATCAAGCCAGATATGAAGTAGGCAAGGGCCATTTGCTGGCCACTTCCAGGCAATGGTGCATTTCTTCATTCTTCACAAAGGGTCATGCCTCCCCAGCATGCACCCAGGGGGCGGGGCAGATCCGGTAGGGGCTGGTTCCTTGCTGTTTCCAGACGGCCTTGTGGATCTAAGACCGAATGCGTTTTAACATAGATGGCCACCACAAAATTGTACATTGGCTCCCTGCTGGCCTAGGCCAGGGCCAAGGCAGCGCAAGCCGTTCTGTTTCCAGGATGGCTTCATGGGCCACATGAAACCACACCACGGGCTGCATCCCGCCCCCAGGCCTTGTGTTTCACATGTCTGGACTAGAATACCTCCAAGGTCCCTTCCAGCCCTATTTATCACATGTTCTATGTAGCAACTCTTTTTAATTACAATGAATGCCACAAAGAAAAATTAACTTTCCCAAACTTCGCAGCTCTGTAAAACACCGGCTTAAACCATTCCGTTTTCTCCTCCGAAATAAAAATATGCATATACTCTTGTCAGAGAAAATGCGCAAATCTCCTTTCAGACGCACCCAGCTCGCTCAACCTTTACTACTGAATCGCGAAAGAAAGGCGGAGCCCCAGATCACGTGGCCAAGCGGTCCTGCCTTTTAAGCTCCACCTCCTCTCCTTTCATCTTTCCCCTCCCCGTCCGCACAGAGGGCTTAAGCTTTCTGCGCTTGCGCAGGAACCTCCATTCTTCCGGTTCTTTCCCCCACCCTTTCTCTTAATGCCGAGCCCGGTTGGCTTAAAGTATTGGGGCGGGACCGGAAGAGGCGACTGCAGGCGCAAGGGGGGGGGGTCTCTAGGGTGACAGGAAGGTGGAGCCGGTAGTGGCCGGTGAGGGAGGCTATGGAGGAGCGAAGAGCCGCGGCTGGGACGGAGGCCACCGCATCCTCTCTTGAATGAAGGGAAGTCGCGGTCGCCGAGGGAAGCGGCTGTCCCTCGGCTTGAGCCGCGTCGCCTCCACGTCCGCTCGCCTCCGCGCTGGACAAGGTGAGCGAGAGAGGAGCGCGCCTGCCCGGGAGTCGCCTTCCTTGAGCCACTTCTCACCGTCCCCTCCCGGGGAAGAAAGCGCGCGGTCGGGTTTTTCTTCCCCGCTCCTCCCTCCGGCCGGAGTCCTGATGAGGCGACCGCTGGTTGGTTGTCCAGGCTTTTCCCGACCGTGGACGGCCTTGCCCTCCAAGCAAGCCTCCGGGAGGCCCCAACGTGGCTTTTCTGTCCCCGGGCCTTGAGGTTATACTCCATTGCAAAAGCTCTACCGTTACAAAAAATAAAACCATAAACGAATACAATGTAGGATACATATCTTCCAAACAAACTTAGGAAATTTTTTTTATTAAAAAAATTACCTGGTAGGCTTCCTGTGGTTGGTTGGTTTGATTTGTTTTCCTCTGTGGGAAAGAGAAGGGTAAATATTAGAACAAAGTTTTCTCCATATCTTTCTTTCATGCAAGCTGATTTTAGTAAGGTAATGCCTGTGGCCATGCTGGTTTTTTCTTCATTTCACCCGCATTTTTTGCCCCAAGTAGCAAAACTTTACTTTTTCTGATATTCACAGTGGCCTTTGAGAATAACATTGGCTCCTCTGAACAGAAAGAACTTCTCCCACATAAATATTGTAGTTTGGATGTCTTGCAAGCAGGAATCTAAATGGAATTTAAATTTAGTAATGTATCTAGTAATAATTTAGTAATGTACTATATCTAGAACTTGCCCATCTATGCATGTAAGACACTGAAAAAGATACAATGCTTACAATTCATACATGGTTTTTATAAAAACCATTTACTCAAAATTTTAAGATTTACTGCTCCTGTAGCTTTAGGAAAAAGAGCGAGTTTGGTGTAATGATTAAAGCACCAAGCTAAAAAACTGGAGACTGTGAATTCTAGTCCTTCCTTACGCACAAAGATAGCTCAATGACCTAGGCTAGTCATTTGTTCTCAGCCCTAGGAAAGAGGCAATGATAAACTACTTCAGAAAATGCAGGGATTTCCCTGGGTAGTTGACTCTAAGGAAACAAACATTAGGCAACAGCATCTTTTGTATGTCATTTAACTTGTTTGATAGTTTGGAGCGTATTTTTAAAATAGACTTCCATAAAAGCAGCTTTTTATTGTGGACTAGTTGTTTCTTTGACACATAGGTACACAGGTACATATGAGGCCAAGCAATCTCATAATTTTTTGAGACTTTGCGAAGGTGTTTTAGAAATAACATGGTTTTTGCCACTCTGTTGCTGAACTGCTTTAAAGCAAACTTTTCAATTAACATTGAAAGAAGCCTTAAGCGGACCCTGCCATAGCGCGGGAATAATGCTAGGAAGAAGATTGAAAGAAGCCTAACATTTGAATTCAATCTTCATTATATTGAACCAGTTCAGACATTGTAGCCAAAAGTTCAGATATTGTAACCAAAATATGGTTTAGCTTTGAAAATTTTCTATTTGAATAGGCTCAAACTATTTGATTAATAGTTTGATCCTATTCATCCATCTTCTACTTTCCTGGAGCTTTTCTTTCCTCTTACTCTGATGGACAAATATTTCTGCAGTTTTCATCCAAATTAGGGTTTTTTTTAAAATATTTTTTCCTTGTTAGTTCAGAGACACATTCTCAATCTCACTCTTAGTATTAATTGTAATGCACCTAGTTGGGATATCAAAGAAAGCTAATGGGAATGTGGAAATGGAATAGATGACAATATGATTTGGAAAGGAAGCACAAAGAGTGCAGCATAATGACTTGAGCATCCTGCCCAAACCATCCACGATTAAGTTATTGAGCTAGTTAACCAATTAACTTGCTGGCCCACCTTGTCAGGAAAAAAAAAAAACATTTTCCATTGTTGAAATGCTTTAGATGTCTATAGATTCTGACAGTTTTTGTTGAGGTCTAGCACAGTATGAATATATATTCCACTAGTATTCTTGATTTCTTAAAAATCAGTGGGATATTTGGATATAGCAATCCTGCTTGCAGACTAGTACTGTGAACTGCATTAGATGTTCATCAATACCACACTTTCCTTTTGATTTTTGTTACTAATATGAATTTGAAGTCGTACTTATGGGTTGTAGCTACATTGAAATGTATGCGCAGACTTCTTTTAGCGCCTATGGCTGCAAAAGCATCCAAATAGCATTATGCTTATCAGTACATTTTCCCCTCTTTTTCAGGTGAAGTCTTTCATCATGGCAATTACACAGTTCCGTCTATTTAAAATTTGTACATGCTTGGCAGCAGTACTATCTTTTTTTAAAAGATTGATTTGCAGGTAAATATCAAAGGTTGCATGTGAGTTTGCTCTGATTTTTCCTCTAAGATTTCTACCTCATTACTCTTGAGAGTTTACTTTGTGTGTGTTTCAAATTGGGGAAGGAGGAATGTAGTATTCCTTTAATAGTTTTTTTTTATATGAAGGTTTAAAATGGTTACAAACATGAAGTGGAATTTCTTCCTTAATTGAACAATGAATAGTGACATAATTTGAAGTTGCATTGAGATTTTTTAAAAAATTACTAATGTCCTTTCTATTATCTTTGTATAGCTAAATAAACTGATATAATCTTAGAAAAACAGAAAACTACGGCATCATGTGATTAGTTTTACCACTTAAAAATAAATATGTATGATACAAATATTTATACAAGAACTTGTTTTGTAAGTGTGTGCTTCTTTCTTTGCATACGTAAAATGAGTAATTGATTAATATATATCGCAAGTATTCAGAGAAAGGGAAAATAATATATATTTTTCAGTCAGGAAAAAGCCACAAAGTCAAATAATATAAAGAAGGAGAGTTAGTAATATAATACTAGTATTCTGCTATGGTTAAGTTTTGTATGTTTTGAGAACTGCTGTGAATTGTTACCTGAAATTATACATACTACTTCTGTTAAACAGGAATAGGAATAAGTATTTATTCAGAAAATATTTGTAAAAATATTTGATTTGATTTGTAAAGGAAAAGGAATGGCAATTTCTCTTGAAAATTCTGATGATTGGAACAAGAATATTTTTCCTTACTTTCTGACAGACCTGCTTTTTGTTTTTACAGTTTTCTCTGTCCAAGTTACTTGGCTCTTAAGGCAGGGATGTCAAACTCACCGTGTCACATGACGTGTCGCGACGTATCATGACACTTTTCCCTTGCCGGAGTTGGGGTGGGTGCAGCTTCTGTGTGACGCATCTGGCCTGCGGGCCAGCAATTTGACACCCCTGTCTTAAGGTTTTGATTTTATAAACATATACTACAGTTTTCTACACTAATTTTTTTATAATGATTTACCCTTTCAAATATGCACGTCCAGCATGCATGCTAATTTTTTCACCTATCTGCAGGATTTGGAAGTTTAATGATGCATATTTTTTTATATGCTGTGGTAGAAATAAAATGGGGTACATGCTTTTAGTACTGAGAAGCACTCAAGTATATAAATCTCTTCAATTGGGAAATGTCCGAGTTTCTTTACATATTATAGGAGAATTCATCTAAATATGCATGAATGTGATAGTTGACATATCATAATGTAATCTGTACTGTTTTATAGAAATAACTAAGTTGTTTTCTTAAAGTTAGCTTATTTCTTAAATGTTGATTCTACTGTACTTCTTGTTATTGCATCATTTTATAAAGGAAGCTCATCATATCTTAGTGAAAAATTCCTTGACTAATATGGATAGTAGAAAATGTGCCTTAAATTTTAAATTGGTAGAAAAAGATCTGAAAAATAGAACTGTTGGTTTTATTCTTAAATTAGGATTTTAATCAGTATGGGTAGTCCTCAACTTACAACAGTTCATTTAGTAACCATTCGAAGTTATAGCGGCAATGAAAAAAGTGACTTATGAACATTTTTTGCACAACCATTGTATAATCCCCATAGTCATGATCAAAATTTAGACACTTGACAACTGACTCATATTTATGACAGTTGCAGTATCCCAGGTCTTGTGATCACCTTTTGTGATCTTCTGACAAGCAAAGTCAATAGGAAATCCAGATTCAATTAACAACAGTGTTAACAATTACAGTGGTTCAGTTAACAACTGTGGCAAAAAAGGTTGTAAAATGAGGCAAAATTCACTTAATAACTGTCTTGTTTAGCAACAGAAATTTTGGGCTCGATTGTGAGGTTGAGGATTCTCTGTAGTTAAAATTACATAAAAAGTGCTAAGTTTTTTAAGTATTCTAACTTTTAATGTAGCTTTTAAATGATTTCTTATTTACAACTTCAGTTTTCTCAAATGTATCAGATTTAAAAAGAAACTTTTGTTTTTCAGGACTGGAAGAGGACGAAAGCTTAGTGGAGACCAAATAACTTTGCCAACTACTGTGGATTTTTCATCTGTTCCGAAACAAGTAATATATTGAATGATCTGGATATCAATTTTTAAAATTAATTCTACCTAATGACCCAATAAAAATAGGTTATGTATTATGCACATTGGATGGCCAATAAAGAATGGAACTCTTTCCCTTTTCTTTTTAGCCAGAAGTAGAAGATTGGTCTTCATGGGATGAAGATGCCCCTACAAGTGTGAAAATTGAAGGTGGCAACGGCAGTGTAGCCAATCAACAAAATGGATTGGAAGAAATGGAGCCTGATTACTTTAAGGACATGACACCAACAATAAGGAAAACACAGAAAGTATGTTTTCAGCATTCACAACAGTCTAAAACCTAAAACTACCTTCTAATGTAGTTATTTAGCAGTGAAAATTGTTTTCTGTCAACCATCCCTTTGATAAATGCATCAAAATAAACTTCTGGGACATTATTTTACCAAGAGTATAACTTTACTGATAAATCCACATAGGCATGGAAGTAGCAAAGCCAGTTCTAAAGTTTTCGCACGAAAACCAGCATAGATAAAATCCACTTTTCCCCCTGGACCTACCCACTGTTCATTGTCCACCAATCAATTGCATTCATTTTGTTTTGGAAAAAATCTGAGCACCTCTTTTCCCAGCGTTTGACCTTGGAGTGTTGGGACTGTCCCATGCTATGATGGCTCCCTTGCATTCCTCAATTCCCTCCCAAGCCTCTCTTGCATTTCAATACTTTCCGTCCTCCCTCCCTGTTTCTGTTGTCTTGTTGTGAGCAGGGGTGCGTAGCAAGTCAACCATGACATTTTCTATCTGTGGCTCAGTTAGATAGCTTATGCAGTTAACTACTGTATTTTAAAAATAATCGTATCCAGTAGAGGTGCAGCATTTTGAGCAATTTAAATTCATCATCATAGACATGAATATGAGTGAAACTGCCAAAGCAGAAAATAATTTTCCCTTTTCAGTTTTGTATCATAAAAAAACCTTCATTTTTACCCAGAGTTTATGACATTTGTGTTTGTATTCTTTGGGAGTACAGCAGAATATATATGTATAGTGAACAAATAATTTACATTATTTCGTCCTTTCTGTTTTGCATTTGAAATGTAATCACATTGAACAACTTGTTATGTTAAGATAATTTCCCAGTCATTTAAATAAGTTTATATACTGAGCAATATAGTTTTAATCAAGGGTGAGGTTAAAGAAAAAAGTTTGAAAGCAAAACTGGTTGCTACACATGAATTAAGTTATGTGGATTGACTGAGGTTATACATGTTTGTTTGAGGATTTTGAAGGATTGCATGCCAACTTTCTTCTGACTGATGCTGTGGTAAAGCCCCACTTCATTCCATCAAGCAGCTAGATAAGCCTATTATGTGCAAGTGAATGTGCAGAGTCAAAGGGCTTTGCTTCAGTTTGTTACAGTCCTATCCCTTACCATAAGTAGGCAATAAGGATATTGCATGTAATTAGGGCCAAGCGAATGTGTAAGATAACACATTTCAGGGTATAGAATTCTGAACAGTCTGGAGTGTATATTATACTAATCAACTAAGCTTTTGAAAACAATATTGGACCATCTGAGAAGTCAATAAGCCTGCAAATACCTTTAGCTTGCAAATGTCCCTTTCTTTCCATTTCTTTTGTAGATATTAACAGCACAGAAGCATTTGCTCCTTTAAAACAAATTACTTTTTTCCTTTTCATCCATACTTACGGGTTGATGAAAAATGTAAGAAGAGCAATGCTTTCCATATTCGCTTATAACTGGGAGTTAAACTTAGTTCAGGAAGATGGCTAACCCCTGGTGGCCAAAAAAAGAGAAGGGTGGAAAGCAGTGGCTTAATTGTAGTGAAGGCAAGAGAAGAAGTGGAAGCACAGGAAATCCTGCTGGTCTTCTCCTTATCCTCATTTTTTTTGGCCTCATGCTTTTAACAATTGTCATTGGACTTCTGTATTCAGCCTGCAAAATCCAGGTGCCCAAAGGCAACAGTGAAAAGAGTTTTTGCTATAGTGTCTGATTTTATAGTCTAAATCTGGTAGCCCAAGTATAGGGCCCTAAGAGGAGCCATGTCAGAAGAGCAGCATGGAAAGAGAGAGGAGCTGCTCATGCAGCCAGTTCCACTTCCAAGTTGCTAACCAGAAATCAAATGGTTGAGATGACAGAGCTAAGGATGCTTTGGTTGATTGAAAAAGTGATGGGAAATTCTTGCAGGGTTCAGGCCCACTGCTGCTTTTGCACTGGCAGGAAATGTAAGTTGACATCTGTGAAACAGCGAACATGGCATTGTTGCGTGACATCAGTTTTTATAGTTGGGTTAATAAGTTTCCAATTTTATTTGTTAATAAATAGCAATATTGCAAATTACGACTTTAAATTCATGCTTTTCAGATCATTGTTAAAAAACGTGAACCTTTAAATTTTGGCAACCAAGATGGTAGTGCCGGATTTTCAAGTAGATTAGCAGCTACACCAGATGTTCCTTTTATTCATCAATCTGTAAGTAACTTCTTTATCATAAATATTTTTGTATGTATAATTTCCAGAATGTCTTAAAGAAGGAATACTAGCTGTTGTGGTTTTTTTGGGGAGGGCATAGGTAAGACAAATTGATAGCCATAATCTAATAAAGCCTTAAATTGTGTAAAAAAAAAACCCCATACTGTTGTCTTAGGTACTCCAATGAATTAACCTGTTTCTCCTGTCATTCCAAATTCTCACTTTTATTTAAAAAAACATGCTCTTCTATACATAAGTTTTTGCTTCTTTCAACAATTTTTATCCCTTACCATAGGTCATGTATTACCTATTACCGTTCAATCAACATCTGCATATCTAATTTTTCCCATTCATTCTCCCACATTTAGTAAATAGTCTACCAAGGTATTCATATTTATGTACTTCAACTTGCTTTTTACCATTTGTACATAACCTCTTCCTCGGTTTTTCATGAATTTTCAGATCAACATGCCAAGTATTTGAATAAAATTAAAAATAAAACTGATGAAATAATTTGGAATGAAATCTAAGTGAAGGGATGCTGGAATGGGTATTTTAGAGACTTGGTTGGAACTGATAGTGTTATACTGAAGACTAAAATGAAACATTTTTTATATGTTAGCATCCAAAAAGAATTGATGAAAAAGAAATCATAAATGTGGCAGTATTAAAAAATGAGAGGTTGCAGAATTTGATAGCATAATTGAGAAATATTAATTTATGGATATGTTTTATCTATGAAGTGGTTCTGGAATTTGCTTAATGTGGCTGCATATGTGCCTGACAATTAAAGGAATGTCCTTATTATTCCCATAGAGGAAAGAAAGCAAAAGCAAAGGCAAAAACTAAAGGTGGATTAGTTTATTAAGTATGTTTCATTGAACATGATAGAATAGATCTTGGTGAGCAAGTATGGGTTTATATTGGGAAGCTCAGACATTTACTCAAGTATGTGAAGGTGAGAGAGGACGTTGATGTGGAAGAAGAACATGATTGTGAATAATTGGAATTTTGGAATGTTTTGCAAAAGCATTTTTTTGTGTTGTCCCACCTATGCATTTAATAGGCACAATCCCCTAAATTATTAAGCATAATAAAAAGAAATATGCTTACTCTACCAAGAATTAGGAAGTGAGAGCATGATGACCAAGAACTTACTAGTGGAGATTGCTATTACTAAGTGATGTAGTCATAAAGAATGGTGTCATGTGACTACATTGATTAGTGACAACAATCCTAGCAGTCTTACCGTCATAACTCCAAGATATGCAGTGGCCATGGGGTGGCGGTTACAGTGACACAAGACTATCTGATTCAGGGAGCCATGTGAGTGCAGGAAGACCATTGAATGGCGGGTATGGTACTACACCAGCACAGTAGGATAGGGCGTGTGCTGCTGTGTGAATGAAAGAAGGCCATGTGGAGAGTGTAGTGATGCAAGATTGTGGGGCGAGGAGTGCTGCGTAAGTGCAAGAAGACCATGGGGTGAATGGTGTTGTGCAAGCACAGGAAAGCCTAGGGGACTTACCAGAACAACCTGCGACCTTCCATGCTGGCTTCCCCACCAACTGCTTGTGGGAAACTGATAGGAAAGGTTGCAAATGGCAGCCATGTGGCCATGGCTTCCTATGATGTTGTGATTGTGAGCTAGGAACTCATATGGTGATCATGTGACTATAGTGGTTCTGTGATGGCCAGAACTTTGAGAATCAATCGTACGCTAATTTTTTTCAGTGCTGCTGTAACTTTCAGCAATCACTGAACAAATAGACCTAAGCCAAGGACTGCCTGTAACAGATATATGAGAACATGTTAATTAAGAAAGTATTAGCTAGCATTTGAAAGTGGGTAGGTTTTTTCTGTATTACAATGAATTCATTCAAAGAAAATTGCTGTCCGTAAGTCTCTCTTCAATGCTTTCCAGGAATAAGGAAGTTACGTTTTCCAATATTTGAATTGCAGTACTTTATTAGAATAATTACTTGCTAGCGTGAAACAGTATTTTGGAGATGCTAATTAATTTCCATTTGCAGCCAGAACTAGGAGACTTGGAGACATGGCAGGAAAACAAAAATGCTTGGGAAGAAGAGGAAGATGCTTCCTGGCAAGCAGAAGAGGTTCTGAGGTAACTTTACCAAATCCTGTAACTGATTATAACTTATCCATCCACCATGATTCAGAGAAGGTTCACTGTGAGTGTATCTGGATATAACAACAAACCCTAGTTTATCATACGATCAATGAAGTCATAATGTGAGTTTTGTTCCCTCTCTCCTGGTATGGAAGTAAGAGCACATTAAAGCCTTTAGCTTTTCTTTGTATTTAACAACCTTAATTTAAGTTTGAACTTAAGCTTCTATCAATAAATCATTCTTTTTGACCTGAGGATACAATTAGAAGTATGTGAGTAAAGGAAATAAACAATTGTTAGCATGATGTATCACCAAGTACCTATTTTCTCAGGATATTTTGTGCCATCTCAATTAGATCTGGTGGAGTTCATTGTCATTCCTGCAAATAAATAGGATGCCAGGATGTGCTGCTTTGCTTTGTAGGAAGTCACCTATTTATGTTTTTTAGAAAGCTCTTTAAAAAAAGAAGCAAAAATTATAGGTAACCTGATGGGCACCAAATATTTTCTTAAGGAGACATTGATGCTTGTAGAAACTATATTGCCTACCCCTGAACTAGATTTTTATTCTGAAAAATGTGAAGAAGTTTATAGTACAAACCTACTCTAAAACTTCTCACTCTCCATTTCCATTGCAGTTAATCATTTCATCTGAATTTGAAAATTACTGGTGAGGATTTCTGCCAGACTTGAAATAGATGTGTTATGCCTTCCGCTGCCAAATCATGTCAGCTGTTGGTGCTGCTAATTCACACCTTCTCTGTTTAGCAGCCCTTTGCTCTTAAAGAGTGCTGTCATTGCTAGGATAATAATTTAACATTTTTTTCAAATATTAGGTAGTTGTCTAATTATTGTCCCAGTTCTGTTACCAAGCGCTTAGGGTGGTAAAACATAAAGATTCTCATATGACTAGCAAGTAGGTAAGGCACTGGTGGAGAATAGCTTGGCTATGTAGAGAATTGAACTCAGTTTTCCATGTCTTATCTTTTTATTGTATTGTTTTTAACTCCATTTAAGGAGGTTGGGATGTATCTCAGTCGGAGTTGTTTATAATGGGAGGCATCTTTAAACTCAGTAAAATAAATAAGGAGATACATGCAGAGTACTCAAGTCAATGGGAAGTCTTTGATCAGTTATTATTTAACACTTAGCCACAATATAAGTTACATACTGCTTATTAAGACTGTATTCCCATGCATCAAGGATGCAAAATTTTGACTGCTACTATTCTCTCATGAAACTGTTGCATGGCAAAAGTGAGAGGTAGGACGTAGAAAAAAAATTGTTCTATATTTTTTTCACACTGGTTTTTTAAATTTTATTTTGAAGACTCCTTTTTTGCCCCAATAAAAAAGCTATTCAGAAGTCGAAGTGATGGGATCTGCTTTGCTGAAATGCTTAAATGATGTTTTTATGTAGATGCTATGGAGATTCGCCTCCGAGCTGACAGTAGCAAATTTAACAATTTACAAAGTCTGTATGGCTATTTGATAAGATGCTTATCATTCTCTGGCACCCTGTTCTCTGCTTTTTCTTGTGTGGCAGGCAGAAAGATAATAGGTATATGTATTTCAAGGAATGTATGTTTATTGAAAGAAGCACAGAGGCTTCTTCTGCCCAGTTCATTGTAGGAAAGTGAGACTTGGCTATGACAGGAGATATATAAACAGTGATTTGAATAGAATAGGAGTAGGGTGATTAAGAAATATATGTGGTAAAACAAAAAGAGTTGAGAATGAATAGACTCAGATCAAATGTGGATTGAGGTGCTTTGATCATATAAGGAGAATAAGTGAGGATCAAATTGTAAAAGAAATATATCAAGGAATAATGAATAGGTTGAAAGGAAGAGGAAGACTGAAGAAGTGGTTGGATATAGTTTATGAGATCTTCCATAGGGGAAAAAGTAAGTAGTTTGAAGAACAAAAGACAGTGTATGAAATATGCCATGTTGGTAGAAGGTGGATAGTTTGATAGTTTACAAAAATACAGAGATATATTAAGAATGGGATTGGTGTAAACTAGTTTTAATTATACTTCCTTTCCTGTTTCTTCTCTCATGCCTTTAATTTCCTTGATTTATTATTTCATACTCTCTCTTCTGTGCTCTGATAATGTTGGTCACCTTAAGAAAAAATAGCCTGACGGGAGTTTAATTATATATCCATAAACTATTGTTTCACATTAAAAACAACCCACAAGCAAGCCAGCAGAGGGCTCAGCACACAGCTAACATTGCCTTTTAGAGTCGTGGATAGAAAGCATTGCTTGAAGATTACCCTCTTTCTTCTAATGCTAGACATTGTGTGAAATTTTTGCCATGGTAAAATCAAGCTAAAAAGCTGAAATCGACTGTTTCCTCAAAGACAGTATGTTTTGGACACAAACCTCAAAACAAACAAAGAAAATTCCCAAAAGGGGGTTATTTATTTAATGAGTATTTAAGAACATGGTAGAAAAGATAAGGAATAAGCAAAACAAATATCAATACAAACATAATGTTTTTTTAAAAAATAACATGTTCCATGATTTCCAAATTAAATTGAATTCTATAACTGACTTACGTTTCAAGTATCAGGTTATTATTTACAGATTTCCACTGCTTAATTTATTATTCTATAAATTTTTAATTTTATTAAAGTGTCATGGCAGTTGTTATATAAAAAAAATTGTGTATTATTGTGGCTTATTAAATGGCTTTTATATTTCTTTTGTTTGATTTTAATTGCTTTTTATTGTAACTGATGTATTCTGCTTTGATTCATAAATGAGTTTGAGCGGCCTTATAAATTTTGTAAATGAACAAATGGCCATTTTTACTCTCAACCATTCTAGTTTCTCCTTGTAAAGTACCTTGCATCTCTGCAGGCTCTTGAAAGTGTTTTATCAACATACACATTGAGCATATGTCTTATTAACAAAGTTATGTCCTTGGCTTTGGAGAGCATTTGTTCCTAATTTCAGAGAAAACATAAGAACAGCCCTGCTGTATTTGGGAAGTCTGAAACTTTTGGCACGTTGCCTATCATTCAGAAAGTGGTAAACAACCATTGCAATTAGTGTCCTTAAATAACCTCTTCCTGTATGAATTTGTCATGCTCCTCCTTTAATAACTGCCATAATCATTAGATTCTGTCCGTGAGTTCTATATCTTATATATACAGTGTGCAAAAAAAAGTATTTTCTTGGTTCTACAATTGTAGGGTTACAACTCTGATAATGGGAATTGTAGTCCTAAAACAATTTGGGCCATAAGAGAGAGTGGCCCTCTCTATAGGTAGAGAATGTGGTTAAGTGAGTTGCACCTGATTTTAAGACCTTTTGCCATAGTTGTTAAGTGAATCACATGGTCTTTAAGTGGAATCTGAATTCCTCCATTGCCTTTGCTTGTCAGAAGTCCACTGTACACACATGCCAATCATCAAGAATTTGAATTTTGATCATGTGACTGATGGTCATAAATGCAGGAACTGGTTGTAAATCACTTTTTTTCAGCCCCACTGTTACTTAAAATGGTTTTTAAATGAATGTTTGTAAGTTGAGGACTACCTGTATCTTCTAGTGCTGCCTAAATATTTCTTGGAACAATATCCAACTCCACTCCCATAGAGTTAGTGAGGAGACAGATCACTAGTGGAAGTGAGTAACAAAAAGTGTGTTTTTCTAATACGATCTAGAGCAGGGGTGTCAAACTGAAACCTCATCCACCCCATTGCTGGCAATGAAAAAAAAAAGTCATGACACGTCACGTGACGTTGCGAGTTTAAAAAGCATCATACTGTGAGTTCAAGTCCCGCCTCAGCTGTGAAAGCCAGCTGGATGACTTTGAACCAGTCACTCTCTCTTAGCCCAACCCACCTAACAGTGGGGAAAACAGAAGTAGGAGGAAATTGTGATGGATATGTTCCCTGCCTTAAGTTATTTGTAAAATAATAAGGACAGTATATAAATATACTGATGATATAAATATACCATCAAAACTGAGCTCAAAATGTAGAACATATTGTATTTCAAACTAACAGTGATGTACTAAAAATGTAATTATCAAAAGAGTTTTGAGGGTGTATTTTGTAAAGTTAAATTGCAGGTGAAAAAGGTAACAAATATGGCAGAAATGGTCAGATTCCCCATAATAGCTTTTACAGCAACCCCCTAAATGTTGGATAGAATATAAGCTTATTAATTATATCTGTAGAAAACTGGGCATATTGTTATCTGCTGGACATGGCCCGATGGAGGAGTTCCATCTAAACCTGCAGGATGCTGGTCACTGAATACAGAAAGTTACATCGATAGAGCTCAGTTTACCATTTCTTAGCTTGATTGCTTAATAAGCAGTAATAATTCTACTTTTAAAATTAAATGGTGCTCAGCTTATTCTACCTTCCAATGGATTATTTGGGTCATTTGTACAGTTCAGGTATTTGGCAATCCATTTCCATGCTGAGTATAAGCAAAGAATACCAGTGAAGTTCAGGAAATGTCTATAATACTGTATGATACTGAGTTACTCGAGGAGCATTTAATTCTGTATTTTCTGTGAAATTTCAGGCAGCAGAAAATGGCAGAAAGAGAAAAACGGGCAGCTGAGCAACAAAGGAAAAAAATGGAGAAAGAAGTACAGCGGTTAATGAAAAAAGAACAGAACAAAATTGGTGTGAAGTTGTCTTAATGCCACTTGTTATGCCTGCAAAGGGAAAGAATTCAGTTTCCACAGCATTGCATCATTTTCTAATGATCTCAGTATTTAATAGAACTAAAGTTTTCTGTTTCATTTTTGAAGTCATCCAGGAAAAACAGTTCATAATTCCTTAGTGTATCTTCAGCTGGACGGTTGAAATGACAGAAGCCTCATTGCACTCAATTCCTCTAGGACAGGACGGGGTTTTGTGCTGAAGCTGGATTGCATTGCATTCCTTGCAAAGAGATACTGCTATGTAAATTCTTCAGCTGCCTGTTTTGAAGCTAAATTAAAAAAAAAAGGTGTAAATAATTGAATGATGGCAATCTATTCTATTGTCTATTACGCTTATTACTGAAAAGACTAATTAAATGATTTTAAACAAAGTCTTGCTTTTTTTTGCTCATTCCCACAATTCTTGCTTGGTATTGTATTGCCTATTGTGAAGGAGCTGACTGAACTGACAGCATTATGCAGAAAGTAAATGCCAGCTATAGTGATGTTGACTTTTTTGCTTTGTGTCTCTGGCATATCTGTTTCAGAATTAGATGCTTATTTTCAAATAGGGAAAAATTAAGTGACAATTTTATGTGATATGGTTCCCAGCAAAACCCTCTTTTGTCTCTTTTTGGTTCTAGTTGATAGACAAGAGGTCAAGCCCTAGACCCCTGCAAAGGGGGGTTGCCTTAGGGCTTGTCTATTTCTCCTTTAATATCTATGTGAAACTGCTGCATAGGTCATCTGAAAGCATAGGGTGTTGTATCATCAATATGCTGAAAATACCCAGTTATTCATTTCTACCCTGAGCTAGACAAGTAATGCTTTAATGGTGCTGTCCAAGTCCTTGAAGGCTGTGACAGTTTGTGTGGGCTCAACTCTCGCAAGATGGAGTGACTCTAGGTTTTTGGCCCCTCAAACAATGGTGACTTGAATGGGGTTGTCCTCCCGTGGATCAAGCTGGTGCACAACTTGGGTGTCCTGAACTCATAGCTTCTGGTTGATGAGCAAATGGCAGTTGTGGTTGGGTGGGTGGGCTTTGCATATCTTGTATGCCCATTGCGTCCTTTCCTGGACTGAGAGTCCTTGCTCATGACCACTCTTGCTTTAGTTACTTCCCATTTAGAGTGGAATGCACTTTACATAGGGCTGCCTTGAAGGCCACTTGGAAGTTACATCTGGTCCAGAATGCAGTGGTGTGCACAGTATTAGGTGTTAATAGGTTTGTCTACACCTCTATGAGCTGCACTTGCTCCCAGTTTCCTTCTGAGTCCAATTCAACATGCTGGTTATCTTAAAAGCCCTACATGGCAGTGGACCTGGTTATTTGTAGAACCACTCTATCTAAGAATATCTGGCTGTCCACTAGATAAGGTACAGTAGGCACACTAATCTAGATCCTTTCCCTGAAATCCTTCCACTTAATAGGGCCTCAGCCTTTACATGCCTGTCTCTAACCTATGGAATGCCCTCCTCTCCCAACAATTCAATCCCCTCCCCATTTTAGCTTTTTGGAAGGCCATCAAGACCTGTTTTTTTACTCAGGATAGGACAGAAAAGAATGAAACGAGTCATTGTAGCTTACTGAGGAGCAGTAGGGGATAGTTAAAGCTTTTATTTGTCTGATCTTTTTACTGTTTTATGTGGGTTTTTTATGGTTATGCTGTGAGCTGCCTGGAATTGCTTAAGATAGGTGACCATCACTGGTGGGATTCAGCCAGTTCGCATCACTTCAGCAGAACCGGTAGCTAATTTTTTTATTACCCAGGCCAAGAATGGACTTCTGGAAGCGGCATCCACACAGAGAACCAGTTGTTCACATATTTGAATCCCACCACTGGTGACCATATAAATCTTTTAAATAAATAAAAATATTGGAGGCAAATAGGGAATAGTGCAAGATTATAAATAAACTTTTACTTCTTGGTAACTTAAGGGTTATTGCTTCTAGGCCAAGCATCCATAATTCTGAAAATAAACAAGGTTATCATAAATCATTATGAAGTAAGATTCTCTAAAGAGAAAAATAAGCATTTGTTTATTCTTGCTTGGAATGAATTATTCCAGTATCTTAATATAGCAAGCTGACCCAGTTCTTGAGTGCTTGTCAAAGCTTGAAAGTTTGTAGGAATCCTGTGTTCTCACAGCTTCTTGTTTAGGAATGTCCCATGGGCGAGTCTCTTATCCTCTCTGATCCACCAGTCATAAAAGCAAGAGTAAGAGTTGTCTAAAATTCTCATAATAGATCTAAATTTCCTGTATTAAAAAGTTATCCAGTTGATGTTGATGAAATGCCAAAGGATTAGTAATACTAGTATTTAATGTTTTTTTTTTTAATTTTTAATGTCGACTTATCAAAAGAAGTTGGATAAGCAAACACTGTCACTTACTATATACTTTTTGTAGTATTCAGTTATATGAGAGTTTAGACATACTGATCTGAATCTTTCATAGACTCTAGGAGAATCTAAATATGGGTATATAAGATTATGTTAGTTAATTGCTGAAGTTATTTGAATAGAACTCAAAAAATGAATATTCTTTTGAGAATAAACCTAAATATCAGTAAATTTTATTGAAAGTAATGGGATTTAAGTTTCTTTTTCTTTGTTTCAATGGGATCCAATAAAAAAAACTTCCAAGGGGAAAATTGTTAATACTGTCAGTAAGAACATAGAATTCTGGCAATATAATAGATTCAGACTACTGCTTGAAAAGCAGATTCGAAGAATTTGTATCAATAAAGAGACCTGCTGATTATCCAAATGGAAATGAAGATTATGTACAGAAGAGAGTGAAATATATATTCCAATGACTTGTAATAATATCACAAGTGCCATTTATCAAGTTTCCAGCAATGTCGTTCTAGCCACCTGCTCCTTCTGGAGAAGGAAAGGAGGAAAAAAAAAAGGTTACTGTTTGAGGGAGAAGGGGAAGAGAATGAAATAGAAAAGGTGTTTTGAGCTTGAAGCAAACCGTTTCTTTCTGGAACTTCTACCAAACTCGTGCTTTTGCTGCAGTTCCAGCTGAAAGAAAACCCAGAGTGAAATTGGACTGATTTTATGCGGCAACTAAGGTTAGGTTGGCATCTGTCATCCATTTTCCCTCTCTTCTGCCCAGCCTGAATGCCTGCCTGCTTACCCTTGAGCTCCTTGGCACCTTCCTTTCCTCTGTCCTCACCCTTTTCTCAGCCGCCCTGGCCACTGTCAAGGTCTACAACCCTGTCCCAGATGAAATTACTTTGTTTTGCCTTTTCCCCACCACAACCCCTACTGTCCAGAACATCCAGATTTGAGTCTAGACCAGGGGTCCTCAACCTTGGCAACTTTAAGACTTGTAGACTTCAACTCCCAGAATCCCTCAGCCAGCTGGCTGAGGGATTCTGGGAGTTGAAGTCCACAAGTCTTAAAGTTGCCAAGGTTGAGGACCCCTGATCTAGACTATGAAAAAAAGATATAAAAACCCAAACTCCTAAGATACATATTTCAGGGAGCCTTGGTGCTCTCTGAGCTTGGTTGTTTTCTTGCAGATGTTTTATTGCTCAAACTAGGTAATAACAGCAATAGCAGTGATGATGTTACCTAGTTTGGGTAGTGAAACGTCTGTAAGAAAACCACCAAGCTCAGAGCACCAGGGACCCCTCATTTCAACCCTGAGCTACACATATTCTCCTTTATTTTGAACAGATTGCTTCAAGTGATTTTTTTCTGTGCCAAATCACTTATGCAAAGAATATCCTAGGACAGTGATGGTGAACCTTTTAGAGAACGAGTGCCCAAACTGCAACCCAAAACCCACTTATGTATCATCGGGTGCCGGGGTGGGCGTGACCCATTGGGTGGGTGTGGTCCATTGGGTGGGTATGGCCCATTGGGTGGGCATGGCTTCGGTGATAACGGCAGACTGGGTGGGACTAAAAAGTTCAATTAATGAATTCCAACTTTGCGAAATCTTTTTCCCGCGAGAAGTTGAAACTGAACCTTTTTTTTTTGCACATGGTGGCGGAGGCCTAAAGCGAAAAGGTTTTATAAAACCCAGCTGAAGGCCTAGGGCTGGAGCGACGGTGCGTGTGCCCACAGAGAGGGCCCTGCGTGCCACCTATGGCATACATCCTATAGGTTCGCCACCACGGTCCTAGGACCTAGGAATTGCTCATAAGCAATCTCAATATGGTCTGAGAGTTTATTTCTTAATAATATGCTTTGAATTTCTTAGGCACTATTTTTGAGCCTATTGGGGATATTTGAGGCAAAGAAAATCTCTAATGTTAGTGGGTATGCTATGGATTACCACTGCTCAAGAGAATGCAGACTCTGAGTCCCCAAGGTTTTCTATCAAGGATGTGGAATTTGAAGGTTCACCAAATCTTTTCTTGGTATATTCTTTGAAGACAAGAAATGGGGCCAAAAATCAGAATCCCAACTGCATGATAAAAAGCCTTGCCCTTTTACATGCATTGGCTGTAAAGGGTATGCATGTAAACCAGTGGGCTGCTGATTGCAGTTGCAGCCACCATCTTTACACATATTCCACTTAGTGGCAACGTGGAGAAAAGAGATGGCTTCAGTTCCACATACATGCACTTCTGCCCTCTTATATTTTGAAAGCAATTGGCTTGGTCTCCTCAAGTATTTAGGTCATTGATTCATAAACTAGCCTTCTCCAACTTGACTACTTAAATGTCCACCCTTGGGTGTACAGTGCCAGACAGATGCAAAAAATGACTAAATGGCTCAAAACTGGTTTATTGAAGTGCACAAATGAAGGGTGAATACTGTGCTTCCCCGAAAATAAGACCCAATTGAAAAATTAGGCCTAGCATGATTTTTCAGGACACTCGTAATATAAGCCCAACCCCCAAAATAAGCCCCAGTTAAGATCATCAGCCAGATGGACGTATTTAGTACTATACTTCCCCAAAAATAAGACCTAACTGGAAAAAAACCCCTAATGCATCTTTTGGAGCAAAAATTAATATAAGACCTGGTCTTATTTTGGGGGGGAACACAGTAGGCATGGGGTATCCATTTGTGATCTTGCAAAACCAACCCCCCAAATGGTTGAATAGGAAATACAGCAATGATGATCTAACATTAGGATGTCATAAGCTTCTCACCCTTAACAGCTGTTCTCACAGCATGGTACACATAAAATAAGTGATAATTGACTATCAAATTTTGGAATAACTATCTTGGTAGAAAATGTAGTTTGAAAAGGCCATTAAAAATGGAAAGGAAAATGCAATTGTAACCATTATTTGATTTACCAAAATATGAACTTCCTTGCTTTTGAAAATGAAAAAATGAGCAAGGAGCATTTGGATGACTGGGTGGCCTTGTATTCTCCAAATGTTTTTTTAATGATTCTTGACTGAAGAATATTTGAGAAA